GGTTGTATTCTTTCACCATACTTATTCAACCTGTATGCTGAGCAAATAATCCGAGAAGCTGGGTTATATGAAGAAAAATGTGGCATCAGGATTGGGGGAAGCCTCATTAACAATCTGCGATATGAGAGCCAAGGATACCCAAGCCATGGTATTTTCAATAACCTCATATGCATGTGAAAGCTGGACAGTGGATAAATAAGACCTTAGAAGAATTGATGCATTTAAGTTACGGTGTTGGAGAAGAATATTGAAAGTGCCATGGGCTGCCAAAAGAACCTCTGATCTGTGTTGGAAGAAGTTCAGCCAGAGTGCTCCTTGGAAGCCAGGATGGCCAAACTTCGTCTTTCATACTTCAGACATACTGTCAGGAGGAACCAGTCCCTGGAGAAAGATATAATGTTTCGTAAGGTAGAGGTTTAGAGAAAAAGAGGATTGGCAAAGTGGCATCATCAATGGGCTCAAGCGTGGCAACAATTGTGAGGCTGACCCAGGACTGGGCGGTGTTTCATTCTATTGTGCACAGGGTTGCTATGAATTGGTACCGACTAGATGGCAACTAACAACAACATGCTGAGCACATGATTTAAAAAATTGGATCATATGAAGAAGAAAATGGCTTTAGGATTGGAGGAAGACTCATTAACAATCTATGATTTGCAGACAATACAATCTTGCTTACTGAAAGCACAAAGGACTTAAAATACTTCGGTATGGGTTGAATCTCAATGTAAAGCAAACAAAAATCCTCACCACTGGACCAATAAACATCAAGATAAATGGAAAAAATATTAAAGTTGTCAAAGTTTTAATTTTGCTAGGATCAACTATCAACACAGAAGCAGCAGTCAAGAAATCAAAGGATGGATTACTGCATTAGGCAAATCCTCTATACAAGACCTCTTTAAAGTGTGGAACAGCAAAGGTGTCAGTTTGAGAACTAATGTGTGCCTGACCCAAGCCATGGTATTTTCAATAATCTCATATGCATGTGAAAGCTGGACAGTAAGTAAGAAAGATTGTAAGAATTGATGCATTTGAGTTATGGTGTTGGAGGAGAATATTAAAAGTACCACGGATCACAAAAAGGACAAAGCAATCTGTGTTGGAAGAAGTATAGCCAGAATGCTCCTTAGAAGCCTGGATGGTCAGACTTCATCTCTCATACTTGAGACATATTATCAAAGGGACCAGTCCATGGAGAAGGACGCCATGTTTGATAAAATGTAGGTTGGAGAAAAAGAGGAAGCCCCTCAACTAGATGGATTAGTACAGTTGCAGCAACAATGGGCTCAAGCATAGCAAGATTTTGAGGTTGGCGCAGGACCAGGCAGTGTTTTTTATTGTTGTGTACAGGGTCACTATTAGTCAGTATCAACTTCATGACATCTAACAACAAACAAGTAAGAAATGATCATTTAAGTAGCTTACTTTAAATGAATGGGGTGGGGGGAGACAACAACGACAAAATTAAGAGGGCTGAAAGCATCTTTTCCCACTTTGAAATGTGTTGCTTGTATCTAATATATACAAATCTCTCAAAATAACTAAAACTTAAAGTTTATTTAAGTGTGGTTTTTTTTTAAAGTTCTAAAAGTTTATTTATGTTTTAAAAAACATTCTTCTCAGTAAACACAGGGAGCGTTAACAACAACAAATTCTTTCTTCCAAACCTTGTTGCTGAAAATAATTCAGAAGGTGTTAGTATTATGTTCTACCTGACAGAACGCTTTGGAGATGTCATCACTTCCGTGATCTTTGCCCTGTATTGTATCTACCTATAGATGGAGGTGATTGTTAAGAATCTATTGATTTACAATGTCTGGATTCTAAAAGTTGCTTTCATTTGAAGATGTCCTGGACTTCCTTGTAATTAATTTCTCTCAATTCTCATAAACCCTCCTCCTCTAACCTTACCTCACCAAACCCCATCCCCAGGGTAAAACAAGGCTAACTTGAAGGCCAGTCTATGAAGTTCCTGTACCAGTTTCCGTTAATCTGCTTTTTACTGTCTTCTTGTATCCTGGAAAACCTAGTCTAAAAAATACGTTGTTGTTGTTAAGTGCCGTTGAGTCGGTTCCGACCCATAGCAACCCTGTACAGGATTTCCGAGGCTGTAAATCTTTAAAGGTGCAGAAAGCCTCATTTTTCTCCTGCGGAGCAGCTGGTAGTTTCAAACTGCTGACCTTAAGGTTCGCAGCCCGATTCGTAACCCCTACACTACCAGAGTTCCTTAAGAAAGATTATTAAAATATGAAGATACAGACAAAGGGCGTGTTTTATGCAAAAATGCAACCATGGAGGATAATGGTCCTGGCGGAAAGTCTCTAGTTGGATGAGGTCATCTGAGGTCATTTCACTTGCTTATTTGGGGGTTGCCAAACTGTTCCCAAGATTTAAAGATTATAAACAGTGATGAAAGTCAGTGTCGCACCCTGTCAACGCCTCAGCCCATTGCCTTTCACTTCCCTGAAATATTTGATCCAATTAGGTCTTGTCCCCTCATTATCTGAGAGGGCTGAATTCAACCCTCGCCTTTAGGCGCAGTCTATTTTCTCTGAGGGAAAGTCAAAACATCCCTCAAAGGATCAAGGAATTCAGCCACCAAGGAGCAGGAGAGTTGATGCGTTAAAGGGGCTCTGGGACTCGCTCCTCACCTCTGCCTCACAGATTTTAGAGCAAGGGCTAGGAGGTACAGGAGGGCCCAGAAGGAGGCGGTAAGAAGCTAGAGCTTTAGTGTGCGTCGGAAACAAAGGTGAGTAACTGTGCGTAGGGAACCGGGAGAAGGGCAGTGGGAGGCTCCTCGGCCTCCAGCCGGGTGGCGTGACTTCAGGAAAATCCAGGAAACCGGCCAGGACTGGATAGGACAGGAAGGTCCACGCCGGAGAAGGCGAACCGACTAATGGCAGAAGGGGCGAGGCTGGCAATGCCCCCTCCCGGCCCCGCCCCGCCGCGCGCGGGGCCGGGAAACGAAACCCTAGCGAGCGCCCGGGTCACGCGCCAGGGGCTGCCTGGCCACCCCCAGCTTCCCCAGGCGGGCGTCTCCAACGAAGAGCGCGTGCCTCACGTCCCCCCCGCCCCCGCCCCGCCCCTTGCACGGTGCGCACGCGCGGCCTCCCAGCCCCGCCCCCTTCTCGTCCCCGCTGGGGTGACGGGGCGGGGAGGCCGCTAGGGCTCCTAGACTGCGAGCACGCGAAGCGCCGCCGCCACCTCCACCGCGTCACGGCTCCCGGGCCCGCCCGCTCCTGGTCCCTCCTTCCCGCTCCGTTTCCCCCTCCTCTCTCCCTCCCCCTCCGACCGAGCGGTGACTTAAGCAACGGAGCGCGGAGAAGCCCATTTTTCTCCTTCCTCGCAGCCGCGCCGTGGAGCCCGTGGTGCGCGGCCCCCACACTCCGGCCCGAGATGAATGCTGCGGCAGAAGCCGAGTTCAACATCCTTTTGGCCACCGACTCCTACAAGGTACAGATTGGGCGGAGGCAGGTGACGAAGGAGGAGGGGGCGCATCGGGGACGAGCGGGAGGTGGGCGGCTGCCGGGTCTGGGGTCGTGGCGCGCGGTGGCCCCGAGGTAAGGCGCTGGCGGTGGCGGCCGGGCAGGTGAAGCTGGCGCCGAGACGGCAATGGATGGAGTAGAGATGGAGGGATGGACGACAGGAGGCGGGGCCTGCGGTGCGCGGTAGGGGGGCGCGGCGAGGGGTTGAGGCGGGCTTGGGGCAGGCGCCGCCCGTGCTCCAGCCGGGCCGGGGTCTTAGCTGGCGCCGCGGGGTCGGGTGTTCTCCGCGGAGCACACACCCTCCGGGGGAGCGCGGCCTTTTGGCCTCGGGCCGGGCTGGGCTAGGACTCGCCTGAGGATCGGGTCAGTTAGGTAACGGCCCCTGGGGCTAGGGGTGGAGAGAGGGAAGGGGTTTGAGAAATGGGATTCCGTCCCCCCCCCCCCGGCCCAGCTGGGTCCAGCCAGTTTACCCTTTGCAAGACAGGTAGGACCCTTCTTAAGGAAGAAGAGAGCGAAGTCCTGCAAGGGGCGCCAGAGCAGGCACGTTCCCCTGTCTGTGGCTCCGGTGCGTAGGACACATGTCTGTCCCGGGTAACCATACTGGACCCGATCCTCTCGGTTGGGCTCTGTTTCAAACTCATGCAATCACTCATGCTCCTTACCCAGTGTTACAAAGGCTGATCTGCTCTTAACTCTAGTGGGGTCACAGCAAGATTTCTGTGAAAGGGAAAGTGAAACCAGAGGAGTTAAAGGAACTGTAGTTTTAATCCTGGGGCACTAGCTGAGAGGGAAATAGCACACTTGTGTTAGTATGCCCATTGACATTGGTGTGTGCAGTTAGTTGCCCCGTTAATTTACTTGAAACACACTTTAGTAATGAGGGGAATAGAGAAAAAAAATCTAGCTAGTATTCTTTCCCATAGTTTCTAACTTATATCAATTTGGACTATACTTTGCTAAACTTTGTTTGCCAAGACGTATAAAAATGTCAGCGGAAGCTCCACTTGTGCAAAATGAATTTTAGTGGTTTATTTGAATAACATGGTGACTTGAAATACAGTGGTACAGTGCTCTACTCTCCTGCTTGTTTTCTGTTGCTTTTAGTTGCTTTTAGTTTCTTTGTATTTTAACCGAACTTAAATATTCTGAGAAAGTATTTTGTAGTTACAATTTAGTTGAAATCTGTTTTGCCTGTTTCTTCCCAGTCTGTTAAAGATTTAGTTTATGATACTTCTTAAGTGGTAGAGTTGATTACAATTCATAGGGTTTCCAAGGAGCAGCTGGTGGGTTTGAACCGATAAGCCCTTTGCTTATCCTACAGCACTATACCAGGACACCTTAGATGGATTGTTGTTTAAGCAGAGCCCTGGTGTGTCCTTGGAAACCCTATATCCGGGTCGCTATGGACCAGAACCGACTCAACAGCACTTAACATTTCACTCACAAGTCTTTTAAATGCAATTGTAAAGTGGTAACCTACACTATGGGGGGGGGCTTTATGCTGTCAAGTGTGGTTTACATCCATTTGTGTTCATTTACTTCAGTCATAGTGCTTTGAGTTTAATGCTGATTTTTGGAATGATTTTATTCATAGCTTTGTATGAGTTTTAGAAAACTAAATCATTAAAATAATTTTCTGATTTTTAACAAGATAATTAATTAATTGAAAACGAGAAATTTAAACAGAAGGTTCGCTGGTCTTGATTTTAAAAACAAAATAGGGTCGCCCTAAGTTGGAACCCACTCGATGGCATTTAACAAGGACTACAGACTTTTTTGGAAATAGATGGGGTGGTGGGCTAGCACATGACATTTTGCCTGATCACCCTCAAGAAAATTCAGGACAATTTGGAACTATATATTCATTTCTATAGCCTCATACTTTATTGTGTATCATAAAAACCAAGACAGTCCAATTTCACAAAGATAAGCATGGGTGTTGCTTGATTTTTGTCCTAGGTTCTTGTTACAAATTAAATAAATAAAATTTTAAGTGTTAATCATCTATATTTTCAAAATAGATCACGGAAAAAATATCAACTAAGTTGTATTTACAGTGTGCTAAAACCAGCAAGAATCAAGCCCTGAAGTGGTGCTGTGGAATAAGCACTGGAGGGTTAACCGCAAGATCAACAACAGTTCAAACCCACCAGCTACTTCAGAAACCCTATACAGGGTTACTTTGGGTTCGGAACCAACCTGGTGGCACACAACAACAGACCTGCGAGAAGGAGCTCTGGTAGCATAGTGAATTCACTGCTGGACTGCTTGACCCCAAAGTAGACAGTTCAAATCTCCCAGCCACTCTGTGGGAGAAACATAAGGCTGGTAACTTCTGTAAAAATTTACACTCTTAGAAACCCTAAGGAGCAGTTCTAAGCTGTCTGTAGGATTTCCATGAATAAGAATTGACTTAATAACAGGTTTTCGTTTTTGGGGGGATGTAGCTGCTTCTTGGAAACCCTATATAGGGTTGCTAAGATATGGAACTGACTCAACGGCACTTCACAACAACAACAAAGGAACTCCAGTAGCGTAGGGGTTACTATACTAGTCTGGCTGCTAACGTCAAGGTCAGCGCTTCGAAACTACCAGCCTTTCCACAAGAGAAAGATAAGGCTTTCTGTTCCTGTTAAAATTTACAGCCTCGGAAACCCTACACTAACCGCCTCCATGGCACGGAACCAACCAGCCAACAAAGACAGCTAGGGTCAGATGCATTTGGGCTAGTCTTAGCCATTGTTGTTGTTTGTTGTTAAGCGCTAAAATACCATGTGGAACTTTCATAAAAGATACAAGTTCCGTTTTTCATTTTATCTAGCCATTAATCAGTTACCAAATAACTGGATCATTATAAAATACATTTCTGTTTTTTGGGTTTTTTTTTTTTTCCTTTGTCCCTATACTGTTTGCCCTGGTGTGGCTTTGTGGGTTAATGCGCTGGACTGCAAAGTCAGTTTGAACTGCAAGGTTGGCAATTCAAATTCACAAGCTGCTCCTTGGAAACCCTATACAGGGTTGCGATGGGTCGAAACTGGCTTGATGGCACTAAACAACAACATATTCTTTGTATCAAAGTACAACAGGGAATAGTTTCAGTATTTCTGACCATTTTACCTATACAGAAGGTAGAAAATTATTGTCAGAGCAAATTTATTTGAGTTTTATGCTAAATGTGATTTAGGTGGAGAAAATGATATAGAACATACACAAAGTAATGTCTTAAGCAATTTATACTTTAAGCCATATCGTGCATTTGTTATTAACTGTACTGTCCAGTATAGGATGCTGCTCAAAAACATTGTAAGCTGGTTGGCTACCAAGAATTCAGCACATTTTCATCCATTCACTTAATAAATACAATATAGTATCAAGAGTCCTGCACTTTAGGGTAAAGTACTGGACCACAAGGTCAGTTTGAACCACAAGGTGGGAGCTTCAAACTCACCAGCCACTCCTTGGAACCCCTATACAGGGTCACTATGAGTCGGAACCAACTAGATGGCACTTAATAACAAACTAGGTATCAAGGAATCCTGGTGTGACACTGTAGGATAGGCACTGAACTTCAAGGCTGGTGGTTCAAACTCATCAGCTGCTCCTTGGAAATCCTATATAGGGTTCCTAAGAGTCATAACCAACTCAACAACACTTAACAACAATTAGGTATCATGGAGTCCCGGTGTGGCACGGTAGGGTAAGCATAAGCACTGTACTGCTAACTACATGGTCTGTGGTTCAAATCCTCCAGCTGTTCCTTGGAACCCTTCCATGTCTCTTAAAAATAATAACAGCAATTAGATATAATAAGAGAAGACAAGGATGGTGTCTTATGTTTCAGTATGGGAGACAGTTAATTTTTAGAGAAATTACAAAGTGTTGTATAATGTATATGTTGTGATTAGGTACTCAAGACAACTTTTAAAAAAGATTTTACTTATTCATTAGTGGCAAAGTAACAAATTTTAAGAGTGTAAGCTTTTTTTAAAGAAAAGACTTAGAAATACATGAGAATGGTCCTGTGGGCAAATTAGTCCTATTTACTTCCATTGAAGTACTTATTTTTGGTTAGATTCCTTTGAACTGTACCTATTTTTCTCTTTTCTTACAGAGACTCAATCCCATGATAATATGAACCTTTTGAGGGATGAGGCGCTGCTACGGTTTATAAGGCAGAAAAAACATTAAGTATATGACTAATTTTGAGCAGTAGAATTGTGAGTTCTTGCATAGAGGTATTTTAATTTCCCAGTAAACTTTATATTCTAAATTATAAGTAAACTGTGAGCAACAAATAAAATCACATATTGTAAAACACAAATAAATATATTAATCCTCTAAAAAAACAAACAGTAACATGTTAATTCCGTCTTATAGCGACCCCATGTAGAGTTTCTGAGACTGTAGATCCGTATGTGAGCAGACAGCCTTATTTTTCTCTCAAGGATGGGATTGACCTATCCACGTTTCAGTTAGCAGTTCAGTGCTTATCCTACAGTGCCATCAGTGCTTCATGAATACTTAATGTTGTATTCATGTTGTTATTAAATGCCCTCAAGTTGATTCCAACTCATAGCGACCCTGTGTAGGGTTTCCAAGGAGCAGCTAGTGGGTCTGAACCATCAACCTTGTGATTAGCAGTCTAGTGCTTATCCTCCAGTGCCACACCAGGACTGGAATACTTAATAAGTGCATTCAGTCATTCGTAGTTGTTGAGTGCTATCCAGTGAGGTCTGATTTACAGTGACCCTGTATAGGGTTGCAACGGAGTGGCTGGTGGGTTGCTGACTTTTTTGGTTAGCAGTCCAGTGCTTATCCTACAGTGCCATACCAGGACTCGGTTTGGGTCTGTTGTAAAACAAAAATAACAGAATCTGGAACCCTTTGCTAGATGATGAAATCTCATTAGCAAGCAAAAGAAGTAAAAGTTGCCAAGAGGTTTAAGGAAAGAGACAGTATAATAATTATAGCTGGTCTTACATTTTCTCAAACCCTTAACAAAAATGATAAAATACAGCAATCCTTAATCAGTATTTATAAAGTGATTATTGCTTTACAAAGCCAAATAGCAATGGATTATTTTCTGGGATACCAGAAGGATATTCAGGACTAGAGAAATCTTTAAATAATACTGGCATGAAGAGTCACTTATGATTTTTGTTGTTTCTAGCTTATTGCTTTGAAGAGTTGGAAAGTCTTAGCCACGGTAGGTTGAGTGGATCCTCTTTGCTTGCCCTTGGATATTTAGGTAATATTAGTTGCTCTGTGACCTTAGGTGTGTTGTTGCCCCTCGTACTCTTTTGTATGCATGTTATTATTGAAATGTTAGCTTGTGATTATTTCTTAGCAGTACAGTATTTATTAAATTAGAAAGAGTACTAGTTGCATTTCAGCCTTATGGAAAATCTAGAGAAGTTCGGAAGAAAGTTAGCATTTGCTCTCAGAAAGTCTGTGTAACTTTTTTCTCCAAAAAAAAAATAATAATAATAATTTTTTTTGTTTGTTTAAGCTATTATGGAGACTTGGTGTGTCGCTATAGGATAAGCACTGGAGTGCTGACCACAAGGTTGTGAATTCAAACCCACCAGCTGCTCCTTGGAAACCCTATACAGGATCACTGTGAGTCAGAAATGACTCAGTGACGCTTACCAACAAGCTTTTATATTTGGGACAAGGATTTTTAACTTTGAAAATAGTTGAGTTTTTAAATTTTTTTTCTTAATACACTTGTTTGGCTAACATATAATGGGAAATGATGCCGCTTAACAAATAGACTGGACCTTTTTGTTCTATGCATTATAATAAGACCACTTATTATTTCATGTGTATCAATTTTTAGAAGCTTCTACTTTCCACCCAGCCAAACTCTTTAAGGCCCAAGTCACTCCCCTTGGTCCCATTACCACCCTGACTCACAGCAGTATTTTCTAGCTATGAAGTTGAGTCCCCTGTCCCCCTGTCTGGGTACTTAAATGAAATGCCGTCATGTATTGCTGTTTACCTTTTCTTAGGTAGAGCTGGCTTGCCAGTCTTTGTTATCATTTTCCTGAGAGCAAAACACTATTTAATACTTTGTACCCAAAAACAATGCCTGTACAGTGCTAGGTATTAAATAAACAATTTATAACTGCACCCCATAATCTTTATTCAGCCCACAAGGGCCTTCCGCTTTCCCCCATTACCTTATTCATTTTCTGTAACCACTTGTTGTACAATGGTAAAATGTTCAACTGCAAACTGAAAGTGGGTGGCTTGAACCCACCAGCTGCTCCTTGGGAGAAAGGTCTTTTTGTGTAAAGATTTGCAGCTTTGGAGACCCGGTGGGGGCAGTTCTGCTCAATCCTATAGAGTTGACATGAATCAGAGTCAACTCATTAGCAATGGGTTTAATATTTACAGATGAAAGCAGATCACCAGGTCTTTCTCCAGTGCTGGGTGGGTTTGAACAGCCAATCTTTGGTTAGCTGCTGAGCGCTTAGAAAATACTTGAATGTTTATAGTTTTCAAGCTTTACTTCAACCTTTTTTTTTTTTTTTTAATTATGGTACTTTATAACCTATATTTGCATAAATATGCAAGATGATTTCTCTGGAAACAAAATGTCATTAGAAACAACAAAAAAATAGGATTCAAGTATGACTTCTAATATATTTGCACTCCCAGGACTCTTTAGTGTGGTGGTAATAGTAAATTGTTTCATGGTTAATTGTGCCCGAGTTTTTATCTTTGACATCTTAAATTGTTAAGTCAAATTCTAAAACGGTTAAGTTCCTCTAAAGAATATTTTAGATGTCATATTTGAATCCTAAAGTTTTTTGTTTTTAATGACATTTTGTTTCCAGAGAAATCGTCCTGCATATTTATGTAAAGATTCATTATAAAGTACCATAATTAAAAAAAAAAAAACTTGAAGTAAAGCTTGAAAATTTTAAACATTTAATGTTTTCTAGAACTAAAACAATATTTATATAATGGAAAATTTTCAGTGTTCCTTTAAACCAAGATGTAATTAAATAGTTTAGGGAAAATTCCATTCAGCTTTTGACTGCTTAGTTTTCTCAGAAGAGAAAAATAATACTTTTAAATCTGTTATAGAAATTACAAAGATATACTATGAAGTATCTGAACTGTAAAGATTGTTGAATTATTAAGAGATATAATTATGAAATTTAGCAGTTTGTGATCTAAACCTTTCAAATTTTACTTTATTATAGGTAAATTTTCTATCTCAATTTATTTTCCCAGTAAAGGAATTGAAGTTCCTTAGCTAGTAAACTGGGCGTTTTCATCGTGACATGCATTTTGGGTTCACTTTTAGGTGTCTATTCCTAATCAGTTCCTGAAGTCGTTAAGTTAATCATCACTTATTACTAAATATTAAGGGTATCATTCACATATACGTTTATATTATCTTTACATTTTAGTGAATTGGCTAGTAAATGTGATTGGTTTGAATTTTATATTAGCTTTCTTACTTTGCTGTTGTTGTTAAGTGCTGTGGAGTCAGTTCTGACTCCTTGCGACCCTCTTAGAGGGTTTCTGAGGAGCAGCTGGTGAGATTGAACCACCAACCTTGAGATTCAAACCCACCTTGTAGTCGAATGCTTATCCTATGGTACCATACAAGGACTCCAGCTACTTCTAAAATCTTAAAAACTACAATTGTATCAGTTCCTGGATTCTAACCTAAAAACAGTTTTATGCCATATATATTAAATATAATGTGCCCATGGAAATAATGTGTACACATAGAAAAATACATTTGAGGAGGTTATGCAGTTTGTTGAAGTGTATTGTTGTTGTTGTTAAGTGCCGTGGAGTTGGTTCTGACTCATAGCAACCCTGCACAGGGTTTCCGAGGCTGTAAATCTTTACGGGGGCAGAAAGCCTCATCTTTCTCCCATGGAATGGCTGGTGGTTTCGAACTGCCATCCTTGAGGTTAACAGCCCGATTCTTAACCACTACACTCTTGTAACCTAAAGGTCGGCAGTTTGAAACTACCAGCCATTCCACAGGAGAAAGATGAGGCTTTCTGCCCCTGTAAAGATTTTACAGCCTCGGAAACCCTGTACCAGGGTCTCTATGAGTCAGAACTGACTCCATGCTGCTACCAGAGGTCCTATGCACAATATTTGCATAAAAAATACAGTACTTGTATTTATCTGGTGTACCTAAGCAAAATAGCTCCCACTCTCTTGCCTGACTTAATTCCCAGACCACATATTAATATATTCTCACCCAAGGTTACCTTTTACAGTATTAAGCTACTATTTCTAAAGGGTTGGAGATATGCTTCTATTATAGAGGAAATAGGAAATTATTTGTTTTAAATGTGTGTGGGGGTTTTCCCCCTCCATTTACAGAGGACATTCATTTTGACAATGGAAAGATATTCATTGTAGAAGTTTTACAATAAGATTTTGTTGTTGTTAAGGGCCGGCGAGTCGATTCCAACTTACAGCGACCCTCTATAGGATTTCCAAGGAGCAGCTGATGAGCCTGAACCACCGATCTTGCGGTTCAAATGACTTTTCAGACTGACGCATCAGCCCACAGTGCCACACTGTAACTCTAGACTAAGGTTTAGCTTAAGTTAAAACCAAGTTTTATTGGGACTGAGATTGTATAGCCAAATTAAAGGGAAAAGGTGAGCTTTTCTAAACTTAGATCAGAGCTAACATGAAAAATGGTTTATATTTACAGTGGTTATCCATGAAACTTAGTCTTCCAAGATTTATTCAACTGTTGCCCTGATTTCCTGATTTACTCTTTACCTTAAACTTTTGGGGAATTATTATTCCTAATCTTTAAACTGTATAAATACAAATTATTCGTCCAGATACTTTTTAAAGCACTGACTGTGAGCCCCAAGGTCCATAGTTCAAACCACCCAGCTGCTCTGTGGGAGAAAAAAGGCTTTTTGCTCCTACGAAGATGTAAAGCCTCTGAAACCCTATACAGGGTCACTGTGAGTTGGAACCGACTCGGTGATACTTCACAACAAGGCTTTCATAGTGTCATTATAAAGACCCAAAGGAGCGCAATCTCAGTACCTCATTATACAGATGAAGTAAATTCATAAGAAATCATTGACCACTGACTTACTGAATGTACTGCGTTTAGACAGTTGTTGTTAAGTGCCGTCGAGTCGGTTCCGACCCATAGCGACACTGTACAGGGTTTCCAAGGCTGTAAATCTTTACGGGAGCAGAAAGCCTCATCTTTCTCCTGCGGAGCGAGCTGTTTGTTTCGAACTGCTGACCTTGTGGTTCACAACCTGATTCGTAACCACTACGCTACCAGAGCTCCTTTAGACAGTAGCAGTACCAATTCTGCTAATTTCAGTCCATCCTATGATATTAATTTCAGCATGTCTGTTTACAAAACTTATACTCTCCTGTGGTTGTGCTTTTAAGATATGGAACTATTAAAATTATCTTTAAGTAAAGATACTTGTATTTTATACTGCGTTATAGCCAGGAAACTAAGCTGATCAATAGCAGATATACATATAATTTCTCTAGTTTTAAATAATTTCAAGCTTTCTGTGTTGTGGTTTATATCCCACTCTTAAGGTATTTTCTAACTAAAATATTTCTTTTCATACAGGTTACTCACTATAAACAATACCCACCCAACACAAGTAAAGTTTATTCCTACTTTGAATGCCGTGAAAAGAAGACAGAAAACTCCAAAGTAAGGAAGGTGAAATACGAGGAAACAGTATTTTATGGGTTGCAGTACATTCTTAATAAGTACTTAAAAGGTATTATTTTTCCTAGTATATTTAAAAACATTGCTTTTATAGAACCATAATTTTTCTCCTATATTATTATAGTCTGTTATTTGAAGTAACTTTTTAAATAGTCCAATTTTGATATTTAAGGAATAAAATATCAATAAAATATAATTTGCTTAATTATAATTACTTTATGAGTTCTTTGCGGGGGGACTAACCTGTTTGATTACACTAAATATTATAACTCAGAGTATGTGTTTGGTGTTCTAAGTGTTAAAATTATCATTTTCTGAGAATGGTAAGTTTGGGAAAGTCTGTAATTTTATGACACTAATCAGTTAGCTAGTAGACAGTTCATTCATTGAAAGTATTATTAACCTGGACTTGTCAGAAAAGTGATTTTACCATTTCTTTGAAGATACGTTATGGTCACCAAAAAGCATGGTTAATAGGCAGTTTCAAACTTTGGGTCTTTTTCTTTGACTGTAAGAAAATAGATAAGTAGTTTGAATTATGGTAGCAATTATAATTAGAATATTTTAAAATTAGTTTTACCTTAACGGCCTAGTTTACAAAACCTACATATCACTGTGGACTTGGTATAGTTGCAAATGCATTTTAAATCAGGAACTCTGTTTCCCCAAATTCATTTCTGTGTTTTTTTAAAATATGCTTTGTAATCATATTTCTAGGGGGGAATGTTGTTGTTATTAAAGTGCTTTGAGTCGGTTCCGACTCATAGAAATCCTGTACAGCATTTCTGAGGAGTGGCTGGTAAATTTGAACTGCTGACCTTGCAGTTTGAACCGACCTTTGCCGTCCAGTGTTTATCCTACAGTGCCACACCAGAATTCCATAGTTTCCACAATTTTCATATATCTTAGAAAATGTAATCTCTAATATTTCCATACAAAGATAATCTCAGAATTTAATATGTTAATTTGAATTTTTAAATACAAATAATTGCTTCTATATTCTTACAGTTAGTTATAAGACGAGACAGTTCAGAAATGTTAGACTATTAAAGACTTAGCTGGAACTCAAACGTATTCCTGTACAACAAGACTAACCCAAGATATTTTTAATGAATTAGCTAGTTTATCTTGGTGTTGTTGTTAAGTGTCGTCGAGTCAGTTCCAACTCATAGTTGACCCTGTATAGGGTTTCCAGTAAGTGGTTGGTGGGTTTGAACCTTGCTTAGTAGTCTGTCCAGTGCGTACCCTATATCATCGCACCAGAACTGATAGCCAAAAGTCTGTAATTCAAACCTACCGGCCATTCCTCAGGAGAAAGATAGGACCGCCTGCTTCCAGTTGAGCAGTTCACCTCTGTCTTAAGGGGCCTCTGTGAGTCTCAGTCAACTTGATGGCAAAATACTACTTCTTCTTATTGTTGTTAAGTGCTATAAAGTCAGTTCTGACTCATAGAAACTCTGTATAGGTATTCTGAAGAGCATCTGGTAAGTTTGAACCACCGACCTTGTAGTCGAGTGCTTATCCTCCATCATCACACCAGAAATCCTATTATTTATTATAGCTAAAATTTATTGATCACCTATTATGGGCCAGCATTGTGTAAATGTTTGCCTTGTCTTAATTCATTTAGTCCTCACAACCATACTTTTAAGTAGTCCCTTTTCTAGTATTATTTTCATTTGACACATAAGGAAAATTTGAAATTTCTGATTTACCAACCCTGAAGACATTCTTTTTTCACAAGGTGATACAGGTTTGTTTTTTTGCCCCATTTAGCTCTACCAGAGAATGGTTGAAATAGGTGGAGGTGGTGACCCTGTGTGAAGTACTGTCTAGTCAATTCCAACTCCTAGCCACTCTGTGCAGGGTTTCCAAGGAGCAGCTGATGAGTTTGAACCCTACTACCTCTGTGGTTCAAAAGACCTTTAGGTTCAGTGCTTATCCTACATGCCACACTGTAAATAGATGTTGCTAAGTACTCGTGACCCTATAAATTGTTACTGTTGTTGTTAAATCAGTCCTGACTCGTGGTGATGTGTGCCTTTTTCCGGCTCATAGAGAGCCTGTATAGGATTTCCGAGGCTGCAAATCTTTACGGAAGCAGAAAGCCTCATCTTCCTCTCACAGAACAGCTAGTAGATTCGAACAGCTGTTCTTGTGGTAACAGGTTAACAGTATAGCTCATGGTCTACTAAGCTACCAGGGTTCCTTCTGTCTGTATGTAGGGACATGATTTTTTTTACTGTTCAGCAGCACACAATTACTTTAGAAACATAAATAAGAGATGTTTACCATTTTAGGTAAAGTAGTGACCAAAGAGAAAATTCAGGAAGCCAAAGAGGTTTACAAAGAGCATTTCCAAGATGATGTCTTCAATGAAAAGGGATGGAACTACGTTCTTGAGGTAAGAAATGGTTTCATATTTTGGTTTTTCCTTTTAGTTCAAAATTTATTGCAGGGATATTTGAATAGAAGATTATAGACTATAATTACAGCTCTTTTCTGTTTGTGACCTGAAAACAATGACTGTTTTAGACATTCTTGTCAAAAGTTAAAGGTTGCATTTAATGTACTTACTCTGTATGACAAATCATTAGCAGATTTAAGTAACTTACTGTAGTATAAGTTAGTTATAATTTAATAAATGAGATTCGTCCAGAAGATGTACAGTCACCTTTCTGACCATTTATCATTTTATCATTTCTTTGAAGATGCATTATAGTTACCAAAGAGCATGGTTAATAGGCAATTTCAAATTTGGGGTCTTTTACCTTGACTAAGAAAATCGATAAGTGGTTTGAAACAAATTCATATTTATCCTTATTGTACTATAATATTAATATGTAATGTAATTTGAATCTAGTGCTTTAGCTCCTGGGCATCCAAACACAGAGATTGAATTATAGAAGTTGAATGTCTGCTGGTGGTTTTCTTTATTACAACCATAGATTGAAAGATAGAAACATGCTGTTAATCAGCTATATTGTAAAATGAAAACATGCTCTTTTTATAGACTGTCAAACACAAAATAATTTATCTTTCATATCTATACAGGCATACCTCATAGATATTGTATGTTCAGTTCCTGACCACCTCAATGGTGTGACCCCACCAGACGCTCCACTCCATTAGAGAAAGATGTGGCAGTCTGCTCCCCATAAAGATTTCAGTCTCAGAAACCCTGTGGGACATTTCTTCTCAGCTCTGTAGGGTTATTAGGAGTTGGAAATCCAACTCAATGATAAATGTTAAGCAAATAGAGCAATAAAGAGAGTCACACACAAAGTTTTTGGTTTTCTTATATAAAAGGTGCATTTGCACTATACTGTATCTCTGAAGTGTGCAGTAGCATTATGAAAAAATTTGAAACATGAGAAAATGACCAAAATGTGACACAAGAGAAGTGAAGTGAGCACTTGCTTTGGTAAAAATGGCACCGTTAAAGTATCTGGTACCATACCATGTAGCAAATATTCCCTCAGCCTAATTTTGGAGGGAATTGTTGCATTAATAAAATGTCAGTTGATTGAGGCTTGAGTATTAATTGCCAAGGCTCTAGAAAGTATAATCATGATTGAGCCTTCTCAATGGTGTCAAGTCTAACAGAATGAAAGGGTTTTGGCGAAACAAAAGATCAGGGATTTCTCTTGTGTTTCTTTGTTTTGCTCTTTAATAGCAATCCCTTCTTTTAGCTGTCAATTTAAATTTAGCCTTTTATGAAAATAGCCTATTTAAAAGAAAGATTGTGTTTTTGGAATACTTTTGGAATATGTTCAAATAAACATTCTTTTTTTTTTTTTTTTAAACTCTTTCCTGAAGTAGTTGGTGGGACTTTTTCTTTAGATCAATTTGAAATTATCTACCTCTTCTAGTGATACAATTTCTTAGCAAAAGCACTTTGGCAACGTAAAATTTAAAAATTAATATCTATTTAAGCTGTTAATAATTTAAGCTAGTTTTATTTTAAGAGGATAAGGGTATTCTGACTAAATTACTAGCATATAGTAATCATAGCATCTACAATTGCAGTTTCGATGACAAAGGTTTCTATAGCAGTTAAATTAATGCTTTTAAAATATAAAGAACCTTATGAAAACAGGTGATTGAGTTTAAATATGTCATTTCACTGTTGTCTCCTACCAGAAATATGATGGCCATCTTCCCATAGAAGTCAAAGCTGTTCCTGAGGGCTCTGTCATCCCCAGAGGAAACGTTCTCTTCACAGTAGAAAACACAGACCCAGAATGTTACTGGCTTACAAATTGGATTGAGGTGATTATACTATTCTTATTTAATGTTAACTTGAAGATATAAAGAATATTAAACCTGGGATTCTAGTTTAGAATTTGTTCAGACCCAGAATGTTACTGGCTTACAAATTGGATTGAGGTGATTATACTATTCTTATTTAATGTTAACTTGAAGATATAAAGAATATTAAACCTGGGATTCTAGTTTAGAATTTGTTACTAATAAAGCCATGTGGAGTCTTGGCACAGTGGTTAAGCTCTCAGTTGCTAACCAAGAGTCAGTGGTGTGACCCCACCAGCCGCTCCACTCCACTTGAGAAAGATGTGGCAGCCTGCTCCCCATAAAGATTTCAGTCTCAGAAACCCTGTGGGACATTTCTCCTCTGCTCTGTAGGGTCACTAGGAGTTGGAAATCCAACTCAATGATAAATATCTTATAATTTACATAAACCTTTCCAGACCTTAATTTCCTCAGTTGGAAGTAATATATGTTACCTTCCAATGAAATCTTAATATTCTAAAATTTGACCTACATCAAATTGAGAATTAATACTTCAGTGCTGGTTGGCTTCCATCTTTGTTGCAATTCTGAATGTAAATGTCTTAGAACAAAATTAGGAAAAAAGCACTGGTGAATTTTTAGTAACTTGAGACATTTTATGGATCTTGTCCTGGTGTGGTGCTGTGGGTTAATGCGCTAGACTGCATAGTCAGTTTCAACTGCATGGTTAGTAGTTCAAGCTCACCAGCCACTCCTTGGAAACCTTAGACAGGGTTGCTATGAGTTGAAACCAACTCAGCAACACTTAACAACAACATATACTGGTGTGGTGCTGTAGGATAAGTACTGGACTGCTAAACACAAGGTCAGTGGTTCAAACCCATAGTTGCTCCTTGGAAACCCTATACAGGGTCGCTATGAGACAGAACCAATTCCACGACACTTAACAACTCCATTTAGACTAAAGAATTTTTGTTCTTTTAATAGCTGATTTCTTCAGCCTTACATAATCAGGTTAGGCCCTGAATTCTGTCACCTTATATGTTTCTATCTTGTCTAACTACATCAAAGACTCATTCATTTTATTTAATTTCTAAGCCTAAAAGAAGGTACATTATGGGCTCTGGTATTGTTAGTTTTCACTTGGTTGAAATTTTGGTACTAATCTATTGAATGTTTTAACAATTTAATTGAGATTTATCCATAAGAGGAGATATACCCTAGAAAGTAGCAACAGAAATACCCCCTTAGTAGACATACGTACTTAGTGTTTATAACTGACTCAGGTTAGTTTGTAGGTTAAACTTTTGTGTTGTTATGCCATAACATAGTACATTTATCTATTTGAGGTTCATTAAAAAGACTAGAAAATGTTTTTGGGAAAAGGTCCAAGATTGTATTTGAAATACAGTTTTGCTCAATTAACAGGTTGTTAAAAGTTCCTGATTAATTAGACTCTTGAGGGACCATTAACTTTGTTGTTGAGTGCTGTTGAGTAGGTTGCGAGCCTGTATAAGGTTTCTGAGGAGTGACTGGTGAGCTTAAACTGCTGACTTTGCAGTCTAGCGCATTAACCCACAGCACCAAACCAGATTAATAAGCACCTCAAAAAAAAAAAAAAAAAAGAAGTACAGTTGTAAGAATGGCATAAGGGCCTCATCTGACTTCCTGTGTCTTCACAAGAGTTGAGGTTGTTGTTGTTAAGTGCCATCATGTAGGTTCCAACTCATAGCAACATTGTATAGGGTGTCTGTGTTGTGACTGATGGGTTTGAAATGCCAACCTTGTGCCGTTAGCAATCCATTGCTTATGCTTACAGTGCCACAAGAGAACTCTTCACAAGGGATAAGGATAAACAAATTCAACATCAACCCGAGGCTAAATCCTAGGAGGTGGAAGTCAGACAGGCTTCCGCCCTCCCACCTTCTTTACCAATTCTGACACCTACCATTGTGCCCAAGGCACTCCCAGCTTTCTCCTGGGTTTGATAATTCATTGCTCTGGCCACACAACTCACAGATAATACCTAACAACTATGGAATTTATTAGAGAAGTTAACTAGTTACAATTCAAGATCAGAAATGCTCAGGATACGGTTCTTTTCTGAAGGACTTCTCAGCACTGCCCACAAGCACATCTCTCTTTGGTCAGTGACTCCTTAACCATACAGACTCTTGGCACCTCTACCCTGTTTGGACAAGTATTCCAAAGCTCCTTTAGTGCTGCTAGTAAATGCCCAAAGGGGACACCACTCTGCCGTAAGTCTCAGCATCAAAGCACTTGGCTCTAGTTCTGTGGGTCGGTAAACCTAGTACCCCGATTAAGTGCCTGGATACACACCACTCCTAAAGAGAGCCTCCTGCCCAAAGGCACTCAGCTTTCTCACTCCGTGGGCCAGTGCAGTGCCTCAGTCTTGTCTTCCTCCTCCTGCTGCCGCTTCTCCACCCCACTCTGGCTCACAGCCCTCTGTCTCCTGGAGGTTCCGTGTGCAGGGATCAAAGGGTATGTGCTGCTCTCGGCTCTTCTTTTTTGAGGGTAGTGAGTTTCCTTCCAGTTGTGATTCTGAAGTGGCTTATATAAAACCCAGAGAAGTGGCAAAAGTGAGTAATCCCCTTACAGGAGTTCCGGCTGCTCCTTAAGAAACATGTACAGTGTTGCTATGAGTCAGAACCAACTCCACAGCCGTAACAACCCAGTCCTGATGTGGTGCTATGGGATAAAGCACTGGACTGCAAAGTCCGTTTGAAACCACAAAGTCAGCAGTTCAGATTCACCAGCCGTTCCTTGGAAGTCCTGTGCAGGGTCACCATGAGAACCAATTCGATGGCACTTACAACGACAACAACTCAGTCATTTGGTCAGAGTTACAAAGACTGTGGTTAGGGCAGTCATATCAAGTAGTTCACTGCACTACAGCAATTAACTAAAAGATTTACATAGACTACAGTCTACTAACTCAAAGCAAAGGAGAATGGATCACACTAGTTTTTGTAAGCTTTTATAATATTTGTAGCAGTAAATAGTGATTCTGAGGCCATAGTGTTACGGTGGTGGTTGTGGTTATGTGCTGTGGAGTCAGTTCTGACTCTTAGTGACCCTGTACAGGGTTTCTAAGGCTGTAATTCTGTATGGGAGCAGAAAGCCTCATCTTTCTCTCACGGAACAGCTGGTAGTTTTAAACTGCTAACCTTGAGTTTCACAACCCAATTCATAACCACTATGATATAAACAAGAATAAAAGAGTTTTTAACTATATTATCTAATCTAGCCTTGTACCTAAAATGTTAAAAGATCCCAAACAGATAAATTTCACTTTAAAAATCATCTGTGAATAATTTCTTGAGTGTTTCTGTTGTTGTTGTTGTTGTTTTTCATAGTCTATTTTAGTTTTCTGAGAAAGATGAGGCTTCATGCTCCTCCAAAAGATTTAAAGTTTTGGAAACCCTATATGGGGTCACTATGAATGGAAACTGACTCCACGGACCTTAATATTAACAACAACCAAACTTTAAAAAAATGTATTTCAGAAAGCCTGTTTAATAAACATTTTTGTTCTATTTCAGTTAAAAAGCCATAAAATCATAAGTAAATCTAGGTGTCTTACAGTGGTAATTTGTTAGCAATTATGTAAATATCCTTTTTTATTACAAAATATTTGACTTAAAATGCAATCTATGAGACTATTAGAATTTATACAAGGAATGTTGCATAAACCCTACTTTTTTGTTGTTTCTAACCTGAAGCTTCTAACCCAAGGAATCCTAGTGTGGCGCTGAGGGTTAATACTCTGGACTGCAAAGTCCTTTGAACTGTAAAGTCAGCAGTTCAAGCTCACCAGCCACTCCTCTGAAACCCTATACTGGGTCAGTATGGGTCGGAACCAACTCGATGGTGCTTAACAATAACAGCAGCCTGAAACAAAATTTATATCAATTTTACCTTTTATTCTAGTAATAAAAACAAAAGCCATGTGGCAAATCAGTTTCAATTAACAGAGACCTCATGTGTGTTAGAGAACTGTACTCCAGAGCCCTCCCTTTTGAGGCACCTCTGGGTGGATTCCAGCCACCAACATTTCAGTTAGCAGAGGGGCACTTAACCATTTGTTCCACCCAGGAACAGTGCTACTAATATGTTTTAAATAACTTCAGTTTTAGGTAGCGATTTTTATTAAAGCCTCAAGTTTAGGGTCTGATAGTATTTTAATTGTAATGATAGTAACTGTGATGAATAGACTTCTTCATAGTTACTTTGTTTTCTCTGTGAGATTTTTTGGGTGAAGTAAAGATGAAGTCCTGGTGTGGTACCCTAAAATAAACACTCTTAACCTCAAGGTCGGTTTGAACTGCAAGATTGGAGGTTCAAACTCACCAGTTACTTCTCAGAAGTCTCGAACGAGGTTGTTAAGAGTTGGAACCAACTTGATGGCACTTAAACAAAAAACTCCCTAAATTTGGGATTTATCTGTTCCCAATCCTGGTGTGGCAAGGTGGGCTAATGCGTCAGACTGCACAGTCATTTGAACTACAGGGTCAGTGGTTCAGGCTCACCAGCTGCTCCTTGGAAACCCTATACAGTGTCGCTATGGGTCGGAATTGACTCGACAGCACTTAATAACAACAACAAATCCCAAATTTAGGAAGTTGTGGTGATACAATGTTTAAGTGCTTGGCTTTTAACTGAAAAGTTACCACTTCAAACCTACCCAGAAGTTCTGTAGGAAAAAGACCTGGTGATGTGCTCCTGTAAAGACTACAGCTAGAACACCCCATGGGCGCTTCTGCTTTGTCACATGGGGTCACTATGAGTCAGAATTGACTCACTTGATGTACAACAACAGTCCCAAATTTATCATATTCTATTACAATTGTTACCCAACCTAGCAAACTTGTTTTTTTTACAAATTTACAACTGTTTTTCAGTATAATTTAAAACACTTTGAATAACAGTACTAAATAGTAGTGCTTCCAGTTCCCTGTCCCAGGTAGCAGTACACTGAACTTTTAAAACCCTGTACAACTGTTGAATTGTTTTATAGATTTAGTCCTTTAACCAGATTTCAAGACATGTTTTAAGAAACCTTAAGTGTCTCAAGAGTCCTGGTGTGGCGCTGTGGGTTAGTGCACCAGACTGCAAAGCCGTTTGAACTGCAAGGTCGGCAATTCAAGCTTACCAGCAGCTCCTCAGAAACCCTATACAGGGTCGCTATGGGTCAGAACCGACTTGGCAGCACTTAACAACAACAATAAGGTGTCTCAGGCTTACCCAGGGCACTGCAATTTGGTTAAACTTACCCTTCTCTCTTCCATCAATAAACAAAGACTTTGGTGTATTGAAAAGGTATTTTTAAACCATTATATTAATCAAACGCCCTCACTTCACAGTTGAAATGGACCTTTTAGCAGATTAGGTCCAATTGCCCTTTCTGTGCAATTCATTTTTTAAAATTGCTTTATCATGCATATTAAAATTACAATAATTCCTAAATGAAATTTGCAGGTTTGTTTGCCTGAAATTTTTATTTTGATTTGGTGGGAAAATTGCTATTTTGAAAGTGTCTTACAAGGTCTGTTTTATTAGGCCTTGGATTAATCAAACTAACTTGCCTTTTTTTTTTTTTTTTTTTTCCTTTCCCCCTTACTTATACCTATAGTGATCTTTTTGAAAAGGGAATGATTTTTTAATTAAGTATAATTTAAGCTGAATTTGTTGAACTGTGGAAAGGAAATGGTGTTACGAGGATCACTGTGTTTAGTCGTTATTTCTCTCCTTCCCTGGCGTTTTTCGAGGGGTAAGGTTAGTCTTATACCTTTATAACACAACTAGAAATTTTTATATTTTGTTTCATATGTTTCTTATACTCCTACATAATAACAATACCTGAGTTGAGTTAAAATGGGAAAAGTTGACTGGATTAAATTTAACAAGTGAATCTTGATTGAGTACTAGCGCTCTATCTATCTATATATATAAAACACAGAATTTAGAATGATAGCTATAAGGAAGTCGTTCATTCTTAACTAACCACTAAATATAAGTAAGAGTTAGTGCTGAGTTGGTAGCATATACAAAATAATGTCTAATTCTGTCTAAGAAATCATGAAATGGGAAATAAATGAGCTTTGAATAAAAGAGAAGAGGAACTGAGGTCATAACACAGTGCTCTTAGAATAACCATTCACCCAGTAGGGACTGTAGTGAATGCATGAAAGATGTAGATGGTTGTTGTTAACTTCTAGCCAGTCAGATCCTACTCATAGTGACTTTGTACAGGGTTTACAAGGAGCGGACCTTACAGTTTAAACCAAGCTTTCTGTCCAGTGCTTATCCTACAGTGTCACATGGAAGGCCTTAAATTCTATGTTGTTATTGTTGTTGTTAAGTGCCATTGAGTAACAAGAATTTTCTTTTTCCCCTTCTATGAATAGTAAAGGAGACCTGGTGTGGCACTGTGGAGTAAAGCATTGCACCCCAAGGTTGGTTTGAACCACAAGGTCAGTGGTTCAGACTCACCAGCCGATCCTTGGAAACCATATACAGGGTCACTATCTCTGATAGTTTGCCATTCAAATCCACCAACCACTCCTTGGAAACTGTATATGTCACTATGAGTCAAAACTGACTATAATGGATAGTGAGTAGCTAGTCAATAAAGACGTTTTAAGTAACGAACTAACTTGATTTAAAGGTAATAACTGATTTTAGTATGAATAATAAATGAGAGAAGCTAAAGATTGTTGTTGTTGTTAAGTGCCAAGTCAGTTCCGACCCATAGCGACCCTGTACAGGGTTTCCGAGGGTGTAAATCTTTACGGGAGTAGAAAGCCTCATCTTTCTCCTGCGGAGCGGCTGGTAGTTTCGAACCGCTGACCTTAAGGTTCGCAGCCCGATTCGTAACCACTACGCTACCAGAGGTTAATCATTGAATAGACTATGGATTGCCAGAAGAACAAACAAATCTGTCTTGGAAGAAATACAGGTAGACTGTTACTTTAAAAATGTGTCTTAAGTACTTTGAACACAGTATCAGGAGAGATCAGTCCCGAGAGCAAGAGAGTGTCAGTGAAGAAAAGAAGACCTTCAACAAGATGGATTAGCGCAGTGACTGCAACAGTGGGCTCAAACAGAGCAGAAATTGTGAGGGTGCCACAGGGCTGTGTAGGGTTTCATTCTATGGAAAATAGAGTCACAGAGTAGGAACCAACTCAACAGCACCCAATAACAACAATCATGGGGCATTGGCAGTAGAATGGAAAGTAATACTTTCAGACTAGAATAGTCAGAGATTGGAGGTGACTAGGTATATAAGTTACTAGTTACATCATCAATTTTCTATTGTATAACAGTACCCCAAAACCTACTGACCTAAAACAATTTACTTCCCATGATTTTGTACTTGACTAGATAGTCCTCTGCTGGTCTTGCTTGGACTTAAACAGCTGTATTCAGCTGATGATTCACCTGGGGCTGGACAATCAGAAATGGCCTCTCTGTCATTTCTGGAGCTGCTAGGCTTCTTTCATTAACCAAGGCTTCTGTGTAGCATGGTAGGTAGTCTAAGAGTTCTAATAGGACCAGAAGCTGTAAGACCTCTTGAAACTGAGGTTTTACGTGCACTGTTCACCGCCCTATTCTGTTGAGACAATAAATGTTATGTTTTTGAAACCCCTGCCCCCAATTTTAAAAAAATCATAAAGGCAACCCAGAATCCCATTTCTTGATGAGAAGAGCTATAAAGATTTGGAAGCCATATTCGATCAATACTAGGGGTCTAATGCTGCAGGGTTTCTATATTTTTTAGGTGGCCAAAATGGGAAGTCCAAGGTTAAATCATCTTTTTATTTGTTTTTACTTTTTAAAAAATTGATTACTTAGCTTGTTCTATAAGACTTAATAAAGACATTAAATATTACTTTGGTTCAGGTCAGACATTACTGTTGTCTAGCAGCTCTTTTCAAAAACAGATTTGATGCCACTTCAGTTACATCTGGTGTGTAAAATAAATAAAAGTATTATACAGTATTAGAGAAGAAAGTGAATTCTCAAGCCATAATAATTAATTGGCTGTTATGCAGTAACCTTTCTACAGAGTTTTCTGGCAATCAAGGAACACTTCAAACAAGATACACTTCTTAACAAATAAATAAGAGTCTAGTTATGCTTATTTTACTCATTTAGGAACATGTAATAGTGTGTGTAACAAAAAGAACAGGAACTTTGCAGTTTTTATAGAAATTATAGAGTCTTTTATCTGGTTTTCTTATAGTTTTGATAAAAAGCTAAGGGCTTAAATTAAAGCATAACCCATAGTTAAACTAAAATGTCTCGAGTATAAAACCTATCGGTCGTCATATTAGATCTAAGGGAAATAAAGACTCCCTGGTATGACGCTGCAGTATAATGCATTGAACCAAAGGTTGATGGTTGAAACTCATCAGCCACTTCTTGGAAACCCTATACAGGGTCACTGAGTCGAAACCAACTCTCCAGCCCTTCACAACAACAACCAAAAAAAGCAGTAAATAAAACATGTCTTTTGTTTACTACTATACAAGCTGTTTGAACTACAAGGTCAGCAGTTCAGGTTCACCAGCTGCTCCTCAGAAACCCTATACAGGGTCGCTATGGGTCAGAACCGACTCTACAGCACTTCACATCAGCACCATATAAGGTGGAGTCCATAGGCATACACCATAAGCTGTTTGTTACAGGTTCCCATTGCATCAAGTATAGAAATGGAGGGTGAACGTTTAGAAACTTTTATGTCAATTGACATTGACGGAATAACCCAAGTGTCAATGTATTTATAAAGCAGTAAAGACCTGGTGTGCTCATCTCTGTGTTACTGATTTGAGGACTGAGCTATGTACTGTATCTGGAATGCACATGTAGTTGTAATGTCTAATTTGTATTTCTAGTAATATGAAAGTCTAGGACATGCAGAGAAAGCTATGTTTTCTTTAGAAAGAACACAGTATTCTATATATTAATTTTGTGGGTTTTTTTTTTTTTTTTTAATTACAGACTATTCTTGTTCAGTCTTGGTATCCAATCACAGTGGCCACAAATTCAAGGGAGCAGAAGAAAATATTGGCCAAATATTTATTAGAAACTTCTGGCAACTTAAATGGCCTGGAATACAAATTGCACGATTTTGGCTACAGAGGAGTCTCTTCGCAAGAGGTAAGGAATTGTGAGGTGAACCTCATTTGATGCAATGTGGATTGTAGGTTAGATTGCCACTATAAACTTTGGGGAAGTTGTTAGGATTGATCTTAGTTCTAAGTAAACAACATTTATGACATTTCAGAGATCGAATCAGTAGTATGTGTATTCAACTACTACTGTGTACAAGGTACATGCGATACAGGTTTCATCAAAATAGTCTCTGGCCTTTAGATTGTAGATAGCTGTATAGACAAAAAGACTGTACCATCACCACCACCCCCACACACAAAATACTATGTTGTAAAGTGCCGTCAAGTTGGTTCCAACTCATAGCAACCCTGAATAGGTTTGCCAAGGAGAAGCTGGTGAGTTTGAACTGACAACCTTGCAGTTCAAACCCACCTTGTGGTCAAGTGCTTATCCTACAGCACCACACCAAGAATCACACATAGTGTATTTGTTGCTGTTGTTGTTAAATGCTGTCGAGTCGATTCTGACCCACAGTGACCCTGTACAGGGTTTCCAAGGCTGTAATCTTTACGGGAGCAGCAAGCCTCATCTGTCTCCCGTGGAAGAGCTGGTAGTTTCGAACTGCTGGGTAGTTCGAACTGCTGACCTTAAGGTTTGCAGCCCAATTCGTAACCACTACGCTACCAGAGCACCTTATACAGTGTATTAGATGTTAGATAATGCTATATAGAGAAGAAGATGGAAGGAATACTCACAGTCACTGTATGAAAAGGAAATTGTTGATGTTCAACTGTTTCAAGAGGTAGCATATGATCAAGAGCCAATAATACTGAAGGAGGAAGTCCAAGGTGCATTAAAGGAATTGGCAAAGAACAAGGCACTAGGAATTGATGGAATAAAAATTGACATTTTTCAAGAAAGTGAGGCAGGCGGCACAGGAGGCACTCACTCATCTATGCCAACTGATTGGAAGAGATCTGTGTTTGTGCCCATTCTAAAGAGAGGTGACCCAACAAAATGCGGAAATCATCGGACAATATCGTTGGTACCCCATGTGAGTAAAGTTTTACTAAAGGTAATACAGAAACAGTTGCAAGTATACATTGACAGAGAACTTCCAGAGGTTCAATCCAGATTCAGAAGAGGCCATGGAACAAGGGATGTCATTGCTGATGTCCGATGGATCTTGGCTGAAAGCAGAGAATATCAGAAAGATGTTTACTTGTGCTTTATTGACTACACAAAGGCTTTCGATTGTGTGGATCATGACTAGCTATGGACAACATTGCGAAGTATGAGTATTCCGGAACACTTAATTGTACTCATGAGGAATCAGTACCATGGACCAAAAGGCAGTTATTTGAACAGAACATGGGAACACTGAATGGTTTAAAATTAAGAAAGGTGTGTGGCAGGGTTGTATTCATTCACCATACTTATTGAGCAAATAATCCAAGAAGCTGGGTTATATGAAGAAAAACTTGGCATCAGTATTGGAGGAAGACTCATTAACAACCTGCGATATGCAGATGATACAACCTTGCTTGCTGAAAGTGAAGAGGACTTGAAACATTTACTGGTGAAGATCAGAGAGCACAGCCTTTAGTATGGACTGCATCTCAGTGTAAAGAAAACAAAAATCCTCACCACTGGACCAATAAACAAATTCTTATCAATGGAGAAAAGATTGAAGTTGTCAAGGACTTGATTCTTCTTGGATCAACTATCAAGACTCATGGAAACAGCAGTCAAGAAATCAAACGACGTATTGCATTAGGCAAATCTACTGCACAAGACCTTTTCAAAGTGTTGAAGAGCAAAGATGTCAGCTTGAGGACTAAGGTGTGCCTGACCCAAGCCATGGTATTTTCAATAACTTCATATACATGCGAAAGCTGGACAGTGAATAAGGAAGACCGTAGAAGAATTGATGCTTTTGAGTTATGGTGTTGGAGGAGAATATTGAAAGTGCCATGGGCTGCCAAAAGAACAAACAGATCTGTGTTGGAAGAAATGCAGCCAGAGTGCTCCTTGGAGGCTAGGATGGCCAAACTTTGTCTCTCATACTTAGGACATATTGTCAGGAGGGACCAGTCACTGGAGAAGGACATCATGTTTGGTAAGGTAGAGGGTCAGAGAAAAAGGGGAATATCCCCAGTGAGATGGATTGGCCAAGTGGCAGCATCAACAGGCCTAAGTGTGGCAACAGTAGTGTGGTTGGCCCAGGATGGGACAGTGTTTCATTCTGTTGTACATAGGGTCGTTAATTCGGTACTGACTCAATGGCACCTAATAATAACAACAAAGGTAAGGGAATTAGAGGGTGATGGGAATTGGAGTGGGAAACCTTATAAAGGGTCACTATGGGTCGGAATTGATGCGACAGCACTTAATATGAACAACAACTGCTAAATAGGTCTCTTTGAAGAGGTAACATTTGAATCCTTATTTGTGAGAAAACGATCAGTAATACGAGTCATTATCTTTGGTAATAGTTGAATATTTCTGTAAGAATAGCTAAAGAAATTAATTCATTAGGGAGCTGTGTCACATATACCTCAATTAGGAATTTCTTTCTCTGTTTTGATTTTTGTCTATGGTGTCTTTTCCAGACTGCTGGCATAGGTGCCTCTGCTCATTTGGTGAACTTCAAAGGTACAGACACAGTAGCAGGAATTGCCTTAATTAAAAAATACTATGGAACAAAAGATCCTGTTCCAGGCTATTCTGTTCCAGCAGCAGAACACAGGTAAATTTCTGTTACCTTAGGGGGAAAACAGTGTTCACTCTTGTGTTTGTATTTCAATGATGTTTTACTTAACTAGAGATTCAGATAATTATAGTACAACTTCAAGTGATAGAAACTTAGAACTGATGCTCTTTGTAAAGACTAGCATCAGGGAGTATGAGGAAGTTCTGATTAACCATCCTAATAGAAACATTTTAAGGACTTTTGTTGCAACTGCTGTGTTGTCACAGGCAGATAGATTTTATTCTTCATTAAATCTAGGAACACTCACTTATTTTTATCTTTTCCTTGATATTCTACATGACCTTTCCTTTTGCTCTGGAAATGTGAATCTGGACCGAGAATTCTCAAAAGGGCTTGTAAATGAACAAGTAAACTCTTGATGAAAGGAATTGTGTAGAGAGTCTACTGTATCCTTATGTGCTCTTACTACAGCATCACAATTAAAAATAGAAGGAAATTATAATCCAAGTTGTAACTGCTGTGGTTCTGGAAATGAATTTAAAATGTATTCAACAATGATACAGTAAAGGATACATGTGGTTCTTATAGTACAAATGACTGTAATCGGATTTGGGCTATATATTAAGTTCTAATGTGCTGGACAGCAAGGTCAGTTTCAACTACAAGACTGGCGGTTCTAGCTTACCAGCCGCTCCTCAGAAACCCTATACCGGGTCACTAATGCATCAGAACCAACTCAGCAGCACCCAACAAAAATAACATTAAGTTCTAATACTTTAATTGTTTAGGATGTTAAAACCTGTGGTGAGTTTAGAATAAAGCCAGTGTTTTTATTATTTGATGTATATTCTCCTAAGTGCTTTCATAGGAAAGGCAATTTGCTGGGTGCTACAAGCAACAGATAAAAATGGTTCATAGGTAATGGAATGGCTGGAGATTGCATGATAGCATTTTGCAAGACCAACTACTTATTCATTGCAAATACTTTTTTTTCAGTAATATAAAAGGTAACTGGCTTTGTAGGATAGGCACTGGCCTGCTAACCATAAGGTCAGTGGTTCAGGCTTAACAGCCACTCTGCAAGAGAAAGATGAGGCTTTGTGATCTCAAAGAGAAACGCTATGCAGGGTCGCTATGAGTCAGAACCTACTGTACAGCACTTAGGACATGCTGACAATGACAGCCTTGATAGCATTCTGCTCTGTTGATTAAGTACTCTCAAAGAGGTACTAAAGTGGTATAAGGTGCAAAGAAGGAAAGGAAGACTCATATTCCATAGGCAAGACCAAAAAAGGCTGTATAGAGATGAGGTTTTGAAGGAACGTTAAAATGTAATGGCCAATATTGGAGTACTGTTCATTCTCTGAGTAATTGTTTTGTGTTTCTACCAATTGCCAGTCATTGTGTGTGTAAAAATGACATGGGGGGGGAGGGGCATCTGACCTCCTTGTTTCATATTCCCACCTAATCATGGCAAGAAGGATCATACAGAAGTGATCACACTACATGCTGAAAGCATAAATGAAAGAGCAGTTTGTGCGTGTGTTTGGGGAATAAGAAGCAGGGGTTTTGTAGGAAACAGGGTAGAGTGGGAATCTAGCACTCAGATTCATTTTGCTACTAAATGTTGACATATGTGCACATTATGCTAAATTATTCTTAATTAGACCTTGTCATATAGTGGCAAGCTCCTTTGAGCAAAGAAATGATGCCGTTAGAAAAATATTTTTGGATTATTTTAATAACAGACTATCCTATGGATTGGATAGGGAAAAACTGGATTTTACAAAGCTTTATAGAAGGCAACTACACAGGCTTGATAGATGTGATTAGGTCCAGGTAGGTGAGATGAATGGAGAAAATTGGATGTTTGAATCAGAAATCAGGAGAGAGTACATTCAGCTAAACGTTTATGAGCATTGCTTTCTTAACAGGGTCTTGTTGAAACTTTCATGCGACTTTCAAGCCTAGTTAACGAGAAATTGCTGTCATTAACAAAAAGAAAAGTTTTAAGGTTAGAGTATTTTTATTTTGGACCCAGATGTGCATACATTTCTCTTGGATTACAAAAAATAATGTAATATTTCAAGGTAATTATGAATTGTAGTTGTTGTTAAGTGCCGTCAAGTTGGTTCCAACCCATAGAAACCGTTTATAGTGTTTTTGAGGAGCAGCTGGTTAGCTTGAACCAATGACTTTGTCATTCAAACCAACTTTGCAGTCCAGCGCTTGAACCCACAGTGCCACACCAGGACTCCTTAATTATGAGTATGATACAGTAAATCTGAGACTCAAGATAATATCTTTAGGACTTTCATGTTAAAAGGAGATACTTTAGGAAATCAATTTTACTCTGCCTCGTCTGATATTTACATTTGTAGATTTGACTTCCTTAATATTTAAAAACATTTATGATGATCTTATGCATAGTATTTTGGTGTTAGTAAGTGCCTTCGAGCCAGTTCCAACTTACATCACCCCTGTATAGTGTTTCCAAGGAGCTACTGGTAGATTTGAACTGTAGACCTTGTGGTTAGCAGTCTAGTGCTTATCCTACAGTGCCATACCACGGCTTATACAAGTCTTTTAAACAGAAGTATAGTATAGTGAAAGCATGGGGACTGACAGTTGGGAAACCTGAGTAACCTATAATTAGCATGCTGGGTGGCCTTGGGCAAGTCATTTATCTCTGTCCATCTTTTTCATCCAAACTAACAGCAGGAGAAGGTAGAAATTTACATTTTCTGCATCAAGAATGTCATTGAGATTACATGAGTTAACATGTAAAATAATTTTTAAAATACAAAAACTATATATTTACATGATAGCCATTGTTGAAAATATAGCTATTTTCTTAATGAAATAGTGTTAGGATGGATATGTAGAGAAAGTATATGGTATGTTGAGATGAAGATATTCAACAAAAACTTGGACTAAAGACATTTGGAAACTCATCACCACAAGAGTACTTTTAGAAACCTCTCAGTGGGTTTCTACAGGGAGGCCTGTAGAGGGAGCTCAGAGTCCTGAGAAATACTGACATTTAACAGAACAGATAGCAAAACTAGAAAAGCCTCACAGTGGAAGATATTAATTCAAGTCAGAGAAAGCTTCAGGAAAATTTCAATGCCATAGAGAATGCAAGTAAGATAAGGTTTAAAAATTGCCAGTTAGACTTGCTAGACAAACACATAACACAGATTGCAGAATTAGATAACTGTATTGATAAAACTCTAGTAAAAAAAACTGCATATGCAATGATATCTAATTGTAGTGATTTATTATAATATTGCAAAGCTCTCCAGTATTAATATTTGTTGCTGACATGTGCTGTCGAGTCAGTTCCAACTCATACAGACCCTGTATAGGGTTTCTGAGGAGCAGCGGATAGGTTTGAACCACTGACCTTGTAGTTTAGTAATCCATTGCTGAGCCTAGTTGAACTTAATTTTCCCTTTAGTTTGCACATTTACATGCATTAGAGAATTGTCGTCAGCTACTGGAAACCTCTGTAGTTGTTAGAAGAAAGTGTGTTTGCTATTAAATGAGTTTATATAAATAAACTATCTCTCAGTTTCAGACAGGAGTAGGCTCTAGGTAGCTAAGTCTGTGTACCTCCAAAGCATATCATTGATAGCATGGATTAGTTGTTTTTTCAGCCTTTATAAAATAAATAAGAATGATCATTTAGAACATAAGTTAGTATAACTTCACTTTTGAAACAGTTGTCTACCTAAAAGATTACAAAATTAGGGAGAAAGAAAAATTGCTTGGCATGAGGAAATGGTAACAATTTTCAAATTCATTATTAAACCCTGTTACAAATTTTTAAAATTATTTTAATTAAAAAGTAATCAATAAGTACTTATAAGTAGAACCATTATTGAGGATATTGTAAAAATTATTATAGCCTAACTGAAAGATTCAGTGGCATATGTATAGTTCCAAACTCCTTTTGTCTTTGTTGTTGGGAGTGAACAGGAAAAAAAAATAATTCTCATGTTCTTTTGCCAATCATAATTATGTTTGGCTTGAAATAAATACGAGCATTCTTTTTCTGGGCATAGTAATGTGTTCTATTTTACACCAGAATATCCTGTTGTATAAATCTGTTCTATAAATAATATGAATGACTACCTGGTACTGGCCATTTAATTTAATAGATAGAGTTAGATATAGATGTCTGTGGTATAGTATAAATAATTGCCTAAGTAATTACCTCTAAGTGTAGAATTTTGAAAGATAAGAGACGTAAGACCATACTATTACTCTTATACATGGTTTTGAAAATTCATAGAAGAGACATACTTGCATTGTCTAGCCAAAATAATGGGAGTGTATGTTCATTTCTTTTAACATCTCAATTTACAATACAAAGGGTGTTAAGTGCTTTTTAACTGCCTGATTTTGAGTATAGGTTCAGGAATACCAGAATAAATGTTTCTAATTGTTTGAATAAGACTTAAAAGTTAAATAATTTATTGCAGTACCTACTGAAGAGGAATAAGATTACTTATACCATTAAATATGAATTGGCCAACGGGTGTTTGGTCAGAACTGGAACTTTTGACATGCATTCATGAGTATAAATCATACAGCTTCTCTGTGATGTTGATGGTGTGCTATAGAAAGCAGGAGGTAAGATGCAACTAGCCATTCAGAAATAGATTCTTTGTCTCCTGATTAAATCTGTAATTTCATTTTGTTTTCTAGTACCATAACAGCTTGGGGAAAAGACCATGAAAAAGATGCATTTGAACATATAGTAACACAGTTTTCATCAGTGCCTGTATCTGTGGTCAGCGATAGCTATGACATTTATAACGCGTGTGAGAAAATATGGGGTGAAGATCTAAGACATTTAACAGTATCAAGAAGTTCAGAGGCACCACTGATAATCAGACCTGATTCTGGAAATCCTCTTGACACTGTATTAAAGGTAAATTTTAATATGTAGCTTGATTGTTCATTTTAATTCATTTTCCTATAGGCCAACTGCATCAACACTGCTTGTAATTTCATTTATGCACACACCATTTCAGAGATGTCTAGACAAGTCTCCATATTTTAAAATTGTGGCCCAGAGTGAATAATAGATATGCCCAGGGTCACACAGTAATTAATAGCAGAGAAAGGAGTTATGGGTAACTTACATAGTGCAAAGTAAAATTATGTACTATTTTTTTCTACTTAATTTCAAAGTTAATTGCATTATACTATTTTAATCATTTCTGTAAAATGGTTACTGCACGTATTTGTGATCTCTATCACAAGTCATTGCTATACCTTTGAAGTTTTTAATTGAAAAGAAATAGGTGCAGGGTGTTATGAATTAAGAATAATTTGAAAATACTTTTTATGTAGTGATCCTTTGAAATAATGTTGCTTTTCAATATAGCAATGTTCCATTTTTCCGTTTCGGACTTTATTTGCTTTCTTTGAAAAGTACTAACAGGAATAAGGTTATTTGATACCTACTAGTAGAAAATTTTGTTTTTGTTTTTGTTTTGAAATTCTCACCACTGGACCAATAAATAACATTCTTTTCAATGGAGAAAAGATTGAAGTTGTCAAGGACTTCATTCTTCTTGGATCAACTATGAACACTCAAGGAAGCAGCAGTCAAGAAATCAAACGATGGATTGCATTAGGCAAATCTGCTGCACAAGACCTTTTTAAAGTGCTGAAGAGCAAAGATGTCAGCTTGAGGACTAAGGTGCGCCTGATCAAAGCCATGGTATTTTCAGTAACCTCATATGCTGGCAAAAGCTGGACAGTGAATAAGGAAGACCGTAGAAGAATTGATGCTTTTGAGTTCTGATGTTGGAGGAGAATATTGAAAGTGCCATGGGCTGCCAAAAGAACCATTAGATCTGTTTTGGAAGAAGTGCAGCCAGAATGCTCCTTGGAGGCCAAGATGGCCAAACTTCATCTCTCATACTTCGGACATACTGTCAGGAGGGAGCAGTCGCTGGAGAAGGATATCATGTTTGGTAAGGTGGAGGGTCAGAGTAAAAGAGAGGAAGACCCCAATGAGATGGATTAGCCAAGTGGCAGCATTGATGGTCTCAAGCGTGGCAACAGTCGTGAAGTTGGCCCAGGATCGGGCAGTGTTTCGTTCTGCTGTGCATAAGGTCGCTATGGGTTGGTACAGACTCGATGGCACCTAACAACAAACAACAACTAGAAAAATAGTCTTGTTGTGACACGGTGGGTTAATGCGCTGGACTACAAAGTTGGTTTGAACTGCAAGATTGACAGATCAAGCTCACCAATGGCTCCTTGGACAACCCTGTACAGGTTCGCTATGGGTCGGAGCTGACACGGCAGTACTTAACAACAACTAGAAAAATAAGAAGCTCCTGTAGTGTAATGGATTGCACAGTTGGCTACTAACCACAGGGTCAGCAGTTCGAATCCACCAGCTGCTCCTCGGGAGAAAGAGTCTTCTGCTTCCGTAAAGATTTACAGTCTCAAAAACCCTATGCAGAGTCACTATGAGCCGGAACTGGCTTGACAATGACTCATTAACCACCAATAGAAAAACACTGTGTTGGGTGCTTTCCATAAGCTTTTGTCATTTAATCTTCATAAAAATGATATGATAAATATTCCTAGCTTAGAGAGGTTAAATAACTTGTTCAAGGTCATACAAAATGTAAAATAAGAAATCAAGTATCTAATCTAGGCCTTTCTCGTTGTGGCCTTCCCATTTTACCAGTTTCACAGCTGGGAATTAGTTGATAAATTACTTATCCTCTAAGAAAGAGGAGGAGTACCATGGCTCCATAAGATAAAACATAGGACTGAGAACCTCAAGGTCCATGGTTCAAGCCCGCCAGCCACTATGCAGGAGAAGGATGAGACTTACTGTTCCCACAAAGATTTAAAAGTCCCAGAAACCCTATACAGAGTGACTGTGAGTAGCAACTGACTTAACAGCAAGAAGAAAGAGGAAGAGACAATCAAGGCCTTTTCCTGTCCTGGGCCATTGTGAAAGTCTGTTTTATAGCCTGAAATAGTAACAGGTTTGGCTTTAACAAATGTAATAGACTCCACGTTTTTTAACTGTTAGCTAACAAAAATATATATGGCCAGTAACAAGAACATACTGAGTCATTGATGCAGAATTGTTTTCATTTTTAGATCATTGATTTATATAGAAAAAGGTGATTATTATTTGGCAGACTAGAAGAATAGTCTGATGGGTAATGTCTTTTGACCATGCTTTGAGGATTTTAAGTTTATATGTAGGTATTTCACAATATTCAAGAGTTCATGAGCGAGTGATGAGGGTAATTTATGTATTACGTATTTTGACTTTAAAAAATGCATATTACCTTTAAGTGAAATGGAGAAATTAGAGAAATTATGGGTTATGTATGTTTCATTTCTGGTTTTGTCTGTTTACCAAAATTTCTCAACTTTGTGATTCAAGTGGATTTACATTTAGGTTGTTTATATCTGACAAAATTAAACCAAATGAAACTATTGGTGGGGACAAATCAAATAAGTATAATTATATTTGTTAGTGTTAATTTATATACCATATAAAATATTTCATTTATTGTTTTAATCTCCTTAATGTTACCGATTTTTCCCTGAATTTAGATAATTAAAAAATTACGAAGAAAAAAAAAGTGTTTTTAGCCACTTTATGACATAAAATGACTTAATAGAAAATAGCACACGTGTCTAATATGATTACAAAAGGCTGGGACTAAATTTAAAAGGGCTTATATGGCACTGTGGGATAAGCACTAGACTGCAAGGTCAGTGGTTCGAAGTCACCAGCCCTCCTCAGAAACCCTTTACAGGGTCACGATGAGTCGGAACAACAACAATTTATATAGTATGGGAGCACTACAGCTCTAGACTGTGCATCACAAGGTTGGCGGTTCCAGCCCACTGACCACTTCTCAGGAAAAAAGATGAGACTTTCTGCTCCCACAAAGATACACAGCCTCAGAAACTGTATACAGGATCACTGTGAGTCAGAACCAACTCAACAGCACTTAACAATATATAGCATAAGAAGCCCTGATGGCACTGTAGGATAAGCACTGGACTGCTAACCACAAGGTCAGCAGTTCAAATCTATCAGCCCCTCTACGGGAGCAAGATGAGACTGCTCCCATAAAGATTCACAGGCTCAGAAACCCTATCTTAGGGTCACTGTGAGCTGGAATCGAGTCAAAAGTAGTGAGATTTATTTGTTTCTTATAATAGTATTGTTGATTTTTAAAGTAATTTGATGGTTTTTGTATACCCAAGATTGTCTGAAAAAGCAGTCTCTTTAAATTTGGAAATAAAATTTTCAGTTATAGTTACTTTGTGGTGTTATTTTTCTATACAGGTTTTGGATATTTTAGGTAAGAAGTTTCCTATTACAGAGAACTCAAAAGGCTACAAGTTGCTGCCTCCTTACCTCAGAGTTATTCAAGGGGATGGAGTAGATATTAATACTTTACAAGAGGTATGTGTTTTATATTAAAAATTGTAGTGAGTCAATCCTTATGATTAAGCTCCATTTTATTAGCTTAGTAAGAAGCACAACACTTAGGTGCTACAATTATAAATTTTCTCATAACTCTGTATATTATGCTTCTGTCTGTTAAATTGCTTCAAATTTATAATCAAAAGTACGCATCAAACCGCACCGTCTTACTGCTTCCCATTCTTCTTGGATGATGATGAGCCTATGATGAAGCAAGAAAATTCTAGTCAAGAAATCTTATACATTAACTAAAAAACCCTTGGCTGTCCCAGTAGGTCTCAGTTTTCATGAAATGGAGTTTGACATAGTCTTAACAGTGTGAAACTAACAATAGTAATATTATAGAGGAGTTTGTCACCTCGTTGTCACCTGTTATTGTTAAATTTAGCCAAGTGGTATGTGTTGTCATAAGATTTTGCCTGTTATTTCCTAATAAAGAACTTTAATTTTTATTTTAACTTTTACCTAAGGTAGTCCATAAAATGTAAAAATATCATTGATATCCAAATCTAGTATTGTAAACCACTGTCATTTTAGTTTCTGAGGGTTTTTTCTTTTTGGTTTTTAGGTGAAAGTTTACAGAGCAGATTTTTCAGTCAATGATTTAAAAACGTGTTTTGTGACATGTTGTAATCCTCTCAGTGTTACAGCATTCTTCCCCTTCCTCTCTGGGTCCCCTATTTCCATTGATTTTTTTGTCCCTTCCTGCCTTCAGAAGTTTGTTTTTAGGTCAATGTTGCCCTTTTGGTCGATATAGCTGATTGTTCTGTGGAGTATGATCCTCTGTGATGGTGGTGTTTTCTCTATACCTGTCTATAATTAAGCTGAAGGGTTAGTTCTAGATTTGAAAGGTGCATAAGGGCCACAGTCTCAAGGGTTTCACTAGTGTCTGTTAGACCAGAAAGTGTTGTTTTTTGCTTCATAGAATTTTTTTTTTTTACCTTGTGAATTGGGTAAAGGATTACAAAACAAATCAATTTTCCATTCAAAAATTCATGCATACTTTTATGTTGTTACTGACTGCATTCCCCACAATGTAACATCACTTATTCATCCCACTTTTTCCCTTTATTTTCTGTTTCCATTCCTTCTCCTGTTGAACCTTTCCTGTCTTCTGAACTTTGCCCTTGGGCCGTTTTGATCTCAAATGGTTGATTATTCTAAGTACTTACCTCCCTATTTTACTGTTTACCTTATACAAAGGAGCTTCAAAAATTCATGGAAAAATTCTGTTATCTTTCCATTCCAATTTTCCATGAACTTTTGAAGCCCTCACTTAGACCTATTATTTGAAAAATCAAGCTACGGGGTGAGTTTAATTCTAGGTCTGAAGGGTGAGTCAAGGCTATAGTTTTAGGCTCCACCAGTCTATATCCAACCACTCACCCTGGTCTGTTTCATGATTTTGAATTCTGCTCCATTTCTCTCCCATTCAATCTGTCCAGGATCCCGTTCAGAGTGATCTCTTTTCACTGGCATTTTAAAGTGTCCAAGTCATTAGAAGATTGTGCATATATTTTAAAGAGTTTCATGCTGTTTGACTGAAATCAGTATATAAATGATGGTTTGTTTTCCAGAGGTACATTTGAAAGTGAGAACTGTATGTAACAGTCTGTCTGTAGTAATGTGCATTTAAGAGTTCCAAAGTGTAGTGTCTAAAACAACTCTCCGGTGCAGTAACAGAAGGGAAGTTTCTTCCACCAACTCTCTCCCAAGCTGCCTTGCCTTAAGAGGAGAGGGGACCTCCTCCAACATTTTGGTGTTGAGAGATTATGGACTCCAAGTAAAAGAAAAGGAAAGTCAAGTCTGCTCAGAAGTGGGAATACAGAATATACCTGAGTATGGAACTTACAGCTGGTGTATTTAATTGCTGTTGCAAACTTCACCCAACTGAAAAGACAAGCCTGGTTTCCTTTAAGTACAGTTACCAGTGTCGACATTTTAGGCAATATAGAAGTACCCACACACACATTCTAACCTAATACTGTTGCCAATGCTTGTGCCTATCCCTTCCTCGTTCTGATGGGCAGCTATTTGTTGAGCTATTCAATCAGCTATTTGAACTTACCTTTAAAGATAAGATTCTTTAGCTTTCCTTTCTTTATTTCTTCATATAAAATCAAACCAAACCTTCTTCTTGTTATTGTTGTTAGATGCCATCGAGCTGATACCAACTCATAGTGACCCTGTGCACAACAAAATGAAACACTGCCGGGTCCTGGGTCAACTTCATAATTGTTGCCACACTTGAACCCATTGATGCTGCCACTTTGCCAATCCATCTTGCTGGGGGTCTTCCTCTTTTTCTCTGACCCTCCACCTTACCAAACATGATATCCTTCTCCAGGGACTGGTCTCTCCTGACAATATGTCCTGAGTATGAGAGACAAAGTTTGGTCATCTTGGCCTCCAAGGAGCACTCTGGCTGCACTTCTTCCAATACAGATCTTTTGGCAGCCCATGGCACTTTCAATATTCTCCTCCAACACCATAACTCAGAAGCATCAATTCTTCTACAGTCTTCCTTATTCATTGTCCAGCATAAGCATGCATAAGGTTTTCAGTGACTAAATATTTGGAAGGTAGTTCATGTCTCCTTCGTAGTCTGTCTTCGTCTGGAAGCTTATCTGAAACTTGTCCATGGTGGGTGACCTTGCTGGTATTTAAAATACTTGTGGCATAGCTTCCAGAATCATAGCCACTAACAAGCCACCACAGTACGACAAACTAATGGACGAGTGGTGGAACACCAAACCTACTGCTGTCAAACTGATCCACCTCTTTTCCCCCATGGAGCAGCTGATGGGTTAAAACCATTGCCCTTTCAGTTAGCAGCACAACATGTTAATTACTGTGCTGCTCAGGCTCCTTTGTCTTCATATATGCAACAGATATTATACATGTGTGAAGAGACCCTGCTGACACATAGGATAAGCGTTGGACTGCTAACCTCAAACCTACCAACTGCTCTGCAGGAGAAAGATGAGGCTTATACTTCTGTAAAGATTGCAGGGTTACTGTGAGTCACAGTCCACTCAGTGGCATTGGGTTTGCGTTGTGTTTTTTTCTATGTGTGTGTGTTATGTTTCTGCATTTTTAAAGCTGAGAATCAAAACCTTTTTAATTTTTAACTCCACTGACAAGAATATCAAGGTAAATATTCTTGATAGTTGTTCTGGCAATGACAAAACTTTAAACAGAACAATCAGAGAATGATTAGTTTGTGTTGATGAAAATTCTTTTTTGGTGATTTACCCCAAGGATTGTTGTTGTTGTTGTTGTTGTTCAGTATTCTGGAGTCAGTTCCGACTCATAGAAACCCTGCACAGGGTTTACGAGGCTGTAAACCTTCATGGGAGCAGAGATCCTCATCTTTCTCCCGCGGAACAGCTGGTAGGTTCAAACTGCTGACTTTGAGGTTAGCAGCCCGATGGTAATACCTACTTTTTCTGTGCTTCATATATGAAGTGGACTAAATTTGTTTTTTAGAGGCACGTAAAGAAATTGACATAGCAGTCTTGCTTTGTGCATAAGTTACGTGCCTTAATTTTGTAAAATGAAAATTTGTTTAATTTGAAATAACTAACTTTTCTCCCTGAAAGTTCATTCTTGAACTTTGTTATTCATGGTCACTCTGTCCGTTGACATTTAATGATGTTTACATTGTAACCCTCACTTGTAGAGGGTTTTATTCCCAATGTTGTACCAAAATTAATTTGCGTATATAGGAAAAGAGGGAAAATCTTTCTTTATGTTGAATAAAACTCAAAAGTGTGTTTCCTGTTCTTTTCAGTATGTATTTCAGTTGGAAATTAATATCTTACTCACTGATTATCACTGAGATGTCTCCATTGGCGTGGCTCATTAATGAAGCAAAAATGGCATTGAATTTTCAAAGCCAACAAATGGAAGATTTATTTACAAAGGAAAGCCTACATATTTTAAGCATTTTTCTTCCATAATGCAAATATTACGGGAGAAAGATGAGGGTTTCTGCTTTCTGGTTTAATAGTGAAGCTAAAATGGCATTGAATTTTCAAAGCAGGCAAAAGGAAGATTTATTTGAAAGGAAAGCCTACATATTTTCAGCATTTTTCTTCCTTAATATAAATATTGCAGTAGAAAGATGAGTCTTTTCTACACCCATGAAGATTGCAATGAGTCGAAACCAACTCAACAGCACTTAACAACAATGCAAATATTATTCTATGCACAGGCCAACTTTTCCTTTCTTTGGTTATCCTACTAAATTTTCCTGGGACCTTTTTTTCTCCCCCTTTAGGAAATAACTCCCTGAGCTTCACAACATTGGTACAGAGATACAGACTTAAATGTTACATAAAATGTTAATTTTATGTAAGTTTTGGTGATAGAAGCAACTTAATTTTTTATCTAAATATAGGTAATGTGTTGTGAAAGCCACTTGTCCCTCTAAGAAATTGGGAGATAACCAGCCTCTCAGATCCTACATCTAGTTAATCTTCCAATGTCTCATTTGTTAACAGAATTAACCAGACAAATAACTCCACCAACTAAGAACAGTGATAGTACCACCACTCACAAAGTCAAGAAAGAGCAGTCTATTTGTCAACCATCCCAGGGCCAAGTAAGGTATCCCATGTTCAGTCAAATTAATCCCTTGACTAAAAGTAGAGAATGCCAGAAAGATGTTTATCTGTTATATTAATTATGCAAAGGCATTTACTTTTGTGGATCATAACAAACTGTGGATTACTTTGGGGAAGAATGATAATTCTGAAACATTTAGTCGTGCTCATGTGGAACTTGTACATAGACCAAGATGCAGTTGTTGAAATAGAATAAGGGATAATGCATGCTTTAAAGTCAGGAAAGGTGTGCTTCAGGGTTGTATCATTTCACCATATTTACTCATTGTGTATGCTGAGCAGATAATCCTTCTCAGACTTCTGTGGAGTAGATGAAGAAAACCATGGGATCAGGTTTAAAAGAATATTCATTAACAATGTGCAGTATACAAATAACACATCTTGGTTCCAAAAGCCAAGTAGACTTGAAGCACCTATTGGTAAAAACCAAAGACACATACACTTTCAATATAGATTACATCTCAACGTAAGGAAAACGGCAGTCTTCACAACTGGACCATTAAACAACATCGTGATAAACAAAAGGTTGAAATTGTCAAGCATTTCATTTTACTTGGTTCCATAATCAACACCTATGGAAGGAGCAGTCAAGAAATTAAATGATGTTATTGCATTGGGAAAATCTGCTGCCAAAGATATCTTTAAACCAAAAATGTCAATTTGAGAACTAAAGTGCACCTGCTCCGAGGCATGGTATTTTCAGTCGCTATTTCATATACAAGTGAAAATTAGTCAGTGGATAAGGAAAAAGAATAATTCACGTATTTGAATTACTGTGTTGGTAAAAAATGTTGTATATACAACGTACTGCCGGAAGAATGAGAAAAATCTATCTTGGAGGGAGTTCATCCAGAATGCTCCTTAGATGTGGGGATGGTGAGACTTTGTCTCATATACTTTGGACATAATATCAGGAGGGACCGGTCACTGGAAAAGAGCAACATGAGTGGTAAAGTAACAAATCAGCAAAAACCGGGAGATTCTCAATCTGATGAATTGACAACAGTTGTGGCTGCAGCAATGGCTTCAAACATAGCAATGAGTGTGAGGATAGGTCAGGACTAGGCAGGGCTGCATTCTTTTGTACATAAAGTCACTATGAGTTGGAACAACTTGAAAGCACTTAGATATTGTAAAGAAAGGTTCAACTGTATGACCGTGGTAAGATTTCATTTAAATAGTAATGGCATAGGATAAGCATGAAACTCCTAATCCAAAGCTGACTATAAGGTTGGCAGTACAAATCTACCAGCTTCTTAAAAACTCCTGCAAGGGTCTCTGAGTTGGCAGTCCTTAACAACAAACAACAGTCTGATTTTTCTCATTTTCATTACATCGGTTACCTTGAGTGTAAAATAAGAAAATGTATTATTCAGTATAAGGTTAGTGCCTAAGACTATATGATATTTTATCATTTGGTTATGTCTAATCAGATTCCTGTGGTGTGGTAGAGTCATGGTGTAATGCCTTAAGATAAGTGCTCGACCTCAAGGTCGGTTTGAACTGCAAAGTCAGTGGTTCAAACTCACCAGCTGCCCCTCAGATACCCTATACAGGATTGCTGTGAGTTAGAATGGACTCGATGGCACTTAACAACAGCAATAGATTCCTATGGTGTGTCACCACCAGCTACTCTTAGAAACCCTAGACAGAGAATCACTGTGAGTTGGAACCGACTCAGTGATAGAAAAGTCAGATTTGACTTGTGTAAATGTTTACAAATAGAATTTTCCCCCTTATTCTGTACCTACCAATAAAATCAATAGAAAATTTCACTTATACTTTAACTGTATATTTAGTCTGAATATATAAAGTTTTGGTGAAGTTATATGAGAAGAATATCTTCAAGAAACTGGACCTAAAATAAAGTACAATGATAAGACATTAAGTTATTCTGTACTTTGAAATTTGCTTATTCTTATGCTTCTGGAGCATGTATAAAGTCAGGTTACAGATGTAAAACTATTCTTTCTATTTGACCCAAGCCACCTTACCCTCCATCTGTCTGTCTGTCTTTTTTTTTCCTTCTTGCTTCTGTTCACTGCACATTTATATTTTAAGTTACATTGTTCACAGTGAAAATCTGAATTTATGGTCCTTTGGGTTCAAGTGGTGGTGGTTATGTGCTGTGGAGTGGGTTCCGACTCATAGCAACCCTGCATAGGGTTTCCGAGGCTATAAATCTTCATGGGAGCAGAAAGCGTCATCTTTCTCCCACGTAACTGCTGGTAGTTTAGAACTGTTGATCATGAGGTTAGCAGCCCAACTCGTAACTACTACACTACCAGAGCTCTCAGATACAGTAGTAAAAGAAATGAAATAAATGATTTATGTAAAAATGTAAGGTATCACTTACCGTTTTTCTGATTCTTCTTGTAAAAAAGTACATACAGCAGGAGAATTAGATGGTTAGGATTTTGAAAAAAGTACATTTCTAAATGTGAGATTTTAAAAAGGTGAAGGAGCTTGATTGGAGTTTATATTTTTTATTTTTGCAATATTGAAAATAAGGAATAGAGAAAACACCATTTGGAAGCTATTGGTATTTGCGGGAATGTGATGAATTTGTGTAATTATTCACACAAAAGTTTTTAAGCTTGGTGACTGGTGCTGGTGGTGGTGGTAGTAGTATGACCCTGTGTAGACACCAGCCAGTGGCTCAGTTGTTAAGTAGAGAAGAGCATTTTAAACTGTTTTCCCATCAAAGACTATTGACATTTCCCCCTCCCCCACTTTGGCTTTATTTATTTATTGTTTTAAACTTGGAATTTGAGTGAAGGTATGCAGACAAAATCATCAACTTTACACTCAACAAATTAAACACTCTGTTTCATCTCAATGATTACAATCCACTCTGCAACAACAGTTAACCTACTTCCTCCTTGTGACTCCCCATTTACATCTTATATTTCACAAATGATCAAAGCAGAAATGTTTGATATACACATACAAAACAAAAAATTATATATTCATTTAAATGTCCAAAGGGCACGTTTTGCAAGCCAGCCTTCTTCTGCCCACAGGCACATAACCTTTCTTTCTTAGTTCATGGGCCTAGAACCTGCAGCTGCTCTATCTCTCCATGTGAATGGCTGTTGACTTTTGCTTGTCCTTCTGCATGTGGCATGCAATATAACATTGATAACAGGATGTTGTAATTTATTAGAGTCATTTCTACTGACTGACAACTGAGCTAAATATCTGGACCCCATTGCTTGTGCTGCTGGCATTTGGACAATAAATTGAGATTGTTGTTGTTGAGGGCCTCGAGTCAGTTCCAACTCATAGCAACCCTGTATAGGATTTCCAAGAAGCAGCTGGTCAGTTTGAACTAACACCCTTGCGGTTCAAACCAACCTTGTGGTCCAGTGCTTTATACCACAGTGCCACACCAGGACTCCAACTTGAGACAGAGAGGTGAGAAAAATGAACCCAAATAACGTTAGTTAGGTAGTTGTAACCTTTCTCTCTTTTTCTCTTTCATTTCCTTCATTCCACCAACACTAACAATAATAATAATGACCACACAAAATCAGAAATGTGAATGAAACTGCCCCTTTCAAACATATTCTCAGTTTAGACTTCCCTTTTTTTGAGTGGGTGGTTATTAGAAACTATGAAATATAATTTTGTCTAAGCCTATTCTTTTTCATTATTGACTATTAGTTTTTAAAGATCTAGAGTGGTTCGTTTATCAATATTGCATATAGAAACTCACCTTTATCCTCTTGGATTACTTTTATTTTTTGGTGTTTTTAATCTTTGTTTTTATGTTCTAGGTCATAGAAGGCATGAAGCAAAAAAAATGGAGTATTGAAAATATTTCCTTTGGTTCTGGTGGTGCTTTACTACAGAAGTTAACAAGAGATCTTTTAAATTGTTCCTTCAAATGTAGTTATGTGGTGACCAACGGTCTTGGGGTAGGTCCTTCAACTTTTACTCTTGTGTGTTAACTATCTTCTATCTGTATCTAGGTAAAGTGTAGCTATTGAATGTGTATAATAGTCCTGGACTGTTTTAATATGTTGTTTGTCAGATGCTTTGATCAGAACACAAAAACAAAAGAGATAATAGGTGGTAATGACCTGATTAGGGAGAAAAAGAAAGATGTGGAAAAGGAGGAAAATAAGGTGGAACAGTCTTTAACAGAAAAAATACAGGTCAGTCATTCCTGACTGCTTTGATATAGGAGAGGGTCTTCAAAATGTTTGTGGAAAAAATCCATTGTCATTTAATTCTATTTTTCCACAAACTTCTTGAAGCCCCCGTGTATAACTTTGGATCAAAAGGTTGATGTGTTTGAGTAGGAATGTCAGCTAACCTAGCCATCAACAATCCCACTAGCTCTTCAGTAGACTCATGAGGACTGGAGATTGTGTGGCACAAAGGATGGCAAGAACTCCGTCTCCTGAGAACACCTTCCTTTAGAAAGTTCTGTTATTGACTCATCGGCTTTTTCTTTCACTGACACCACTAGTTACTTATGTAGTGTTTTGCCTCCTACTTTTCTGATCCTGAAGCTAATATTCTGCTGTCTTGTGATTCTCTTTATTTTTCTTTGAACAATAACAAGGTAACAAGAGTAAAAACTAACAAAAGGATAAAGGTATAAAGTAGGAAACCCTGGCCACAGTTTATATGTTCTTATACAGTGCTCATATACATAGTATTGTTTTCAGAGGGTGTTTTTTTGTTTTTTTCCAGTAGCGTGTATGTGCTTATACTTAACTGTTAAATGTAATCTGTAATATAGAAGATTATATTTTAAGGATTACATGATAAAATCCTGAAGAGTTAGTACAAATGAGGTATTCTTTGGTTGTAAGAAAGGATATATTAGATTGGGATTCTTTTCATAACAGATACCTCTGTCCTCCAAAACAGGCTAGAGTTACATTTCTAAAAGCCAGATATGGATTGCTTTAATTATACCTATGAAGTGATTACATTTTATTCACTTACTTATTTTAAAGTGAGTCTTTAAAATAAATTTTATTCACTTATTTATTTAAAGTGAGTCTTCTTTGTTCCTTTAATTGTCTAAATTTGGATTCCAGATTAATGTCTTCAAGGATCCAGTTGCTGATCCCAACAAAAGATCCAAAAAAGGTCGATTATCTTTACATAGGACACCAACAGGGAACTTTGTTACACTTGAAGAAGGAAAAGGCGATCTTGAGGAATATGGTCATGTATGTATCTATGCTGATACCTTTTTTCTTTTCTCTTTCCTTTTGGCTAAATTTTTTTTTAACTTTTATTGGTAATTGAATGAAGGTTTGCAGACAAGATCATCACTTTACATTCAACAAGTTAAACACTGTTTAATTTCAGTGATTACAATCCCCTCTTTGCAACAACAGTTAACCTACTTCCTCCTTGTGACTCCTCATTTACATCTTATATTTCACAAATGAACAAAGCAAAAATATTTGGTGTAAACATAGAAAACAAAAAATATATATTGATTTAAATGTCCAAAGGGCACATTTTGCAAGCCAGCCTCCTGCCCACAGGCACACAACCTTTCTTAGTTCATAGGACTAGAGCCCACAGCTGCTCATCTGTCCATGCCATTGCCTCTGCCACCATCTATGCTGTCACCACTTTCCTAGGTAGGATCTCATGCTCTTTCTTCTTGATGGTCCTGAGATCATCTGTTCCTGAAATGAAAGATTAACTACTACTCTCTTTTTTTGTTACACATCTACAATTACAATTTTGACAATCACAATTAATCCTGCTAATAATGACTCACAATTGAATCATAAAATCCTTTCACCATTATCTCCCATCCCCTTTTACTGGATCTATCTGGAAAAGAGGGAAGTGATTCAGTGGGGGTTCTACCTTACCCCCCTCATTCTGAAACTAAGCACAGTCATGAAAGCTTGTAAGCCACCCTTTATGTCTTTATAGCTCCACGTTTTTGATAGGGACAAGCAGTTTAGATACTGCCCGTCTTATAAACCCAGTGCACTGAGGAAACAAGCTTGCTCCTTGATATACAGAATCCTTCCATTCTTGTTGAGATTTTGAGCACATGCATCTATAAGCAGATCATTAAATTGTAGCAATTTGCACTTATCATATTATCAAATATCTTTATCTTCATCTGGTCAAGTTCTGATCAGGTAGCCATCCAAACTAGATCAAATGGATACTAGCTGCAAGTTTTGGAGTTCATGTATACTTCCCTGCACTTCAGACCAGCTGTCTACTTCAGTCTCAGCCCTAGCCCCCAGAGGTGGCTAGGTCAGTGCCCATGGGCTCAGGAGTTTGCACATCTTCCTAAACTTCAGACTAGCCAGCCCTTCCTCTTATCTCTCTCATCTCATAGTCAAAGGATGTCATTGGAACATGGCCAAACTCAGCCCATGTCTTCATTGCTGCATTTCCCCCAGTTCCACTCAAGTTAGACCCAAGTAGTCACCACCAAGCATACTAGACTGCTCGTGCGTTCTCTTTTAAGTTTCAGTCCTAGAAGGGGGTTTACCCTGATGATCTGACTTTTCTTATCTTGATAGCTCCAAAGCAAACAACTTACTTGAAATTCTAGCAGACCAGTTTTTTTTCTGCAGGTCTTTCTCCCAATCAGAATCTTTTTTTTCCCCAGCTGTTGTTGGTCTGCATGTCTTTTCAAGTGGGTATGTTCCAACTCAGAAGGTTCTGGCTGGGCCTCAGGATTTCACCTAAGGCCCTGTACTCTACAAAGACTTAACAATGAATCTATTTCCCTGGACAAATTCTAACTCCCCGTTTTAGCAAATTCAGTCAGTTACAGGCTGAAGGCAGGCTTCTAAGCTTTCTGAAACCATAATTGCCAATATTAATTTCTGTAACATAATATCTATTTTACAATAGTAGATAGGGAAAACCAATATCAACAAGACAGTCAAACACGTAGACACTTTTTCCCCTTCTTTACCCATTCATCCTTTTGTCTCGTTCCATGTAACTGCTCATAATACCTTGTTGTTCAAGGTTTTGTATAAGTCATTATTTACCTCTATCCCATTTAGTCCATGCATACCTCCCTAAATCTGCCCCTATCTCATTGTTCCTTGGCCACCTCCTGATATGTGTCTTTTTAATAATAGAAGGCTAGTAGAGCTTTTTCTGTCACTGCATTTTATTTTTAATTTTCAGAGCAATTTTTTCTTGAAAGACAAAAAGCAGTTTTATTGTAAAATGTAGATTTGTTGACCTGGTCTGCTAACATCAGATGGAAAGTAAAAAGTTGCCAGGTCATATATATGTTCCAACAAAACTGTCTATAGTCAGTTCTGATGTAAGACAAATACCTCAGATTTTTATTTTAGTTTTCATTATTGCCTTTTATTATCAATTTTTTTATAAATCATAACAATGAACATTTGTGAGTAAACATCTGAAAAATATAACATCAGCAAATTACAAGGTGCCACTTTATATGTAGTACATATTACTAACAGTAAGATACTTGAAAAACAAAGACAGCCCTGTGTAATTTGTTATAATTCGAATACATTATATGTCAGGGACTACCCATATCTGTATTGGATGAAAACTTTTACAATATTATTATTAAAAAGGTTTTCCACCGGCTGTTCTCAAGTCTCTCGAGGCCCACTGCGGGCTGCTCCGGCCGGTGCTTTGCCCCGGCGCCTCAGTGTGCTCGGCCAGCAGCCTCTGAGAGCGCCCTGGGAGCCGGCAGACGGTGGCCCTCGCTGGGGACCCTCCAGCGGGCCCAGGGGAACTCAAGTGGCTCTAAATCCAACACACGCCCATTGAAGCAAGTTAAAGGATTTACTATGAAGCACAGAAGCAGATAGTGCTAATTAGCAAGCAGTGGTTGTTATACATTTGGTGAGCGGAGCAGCATTTCCTTCTCCCACTGTTACTGCGATGGCAGAAATTAACCGGATTCAGTATGAAATGGAATACACTGAAGTTATCAGTCAGCGAATGAGGGTCCCAGAAAAACTGAAAGTCGCCCCACCGAATGCAAACCTGGAGCCAGGTTTTCCAGAAGGCGCCCCCACTGCTAGTGTGATAATGCAGGTCCCCGAGAGGATTGCTGTTGCAGGAAATAATGAAGACATTCCATTTTCAAGCCCGCCAGATCTTCATCTGATTCAGTCTACTCCCTTGAAGCCTTTGACCATGAAAACCCCACCTCGTGTACTTACACTAAGTGAAAGACCGCTAGATTTCCTGGACTTAGAAAGGCCTCCTCCAACCCCTCAAAATGAAGAAATCTGGGCAGTTGACAGGCTAAAAAGAGAGCGCTCTGTGAGTGAAAATGCTGTTCGCCAAAATGGACAGCTGGTCAGAAATGATTCCATGTATGGCATTTCAAATATAGACAGCACAGTTGAAGGAACGTCCGATGACATGACTGTTGTAGATGCAGCTTCCTTAAGACGACGGATCATCAAACTGAATAAATGGCTACAGCTTCTGGAGGAGGAGAACAACGAACGAGCTTGAAGAGAAATGGTCCTGTATTCAAGTACAGTCGCTTTCTGGCTGCTCAATAGCTGGCTGTGGTTTCGCCGCTAGAGGTAACCTCCGCTCTCAGAAACGTTGGTCTCAACAGCTAGAAATATAAAGAATTTGCAAACTTTTTCGTTTCTGTCTCTGCATTGTATGCCATTTTATAGTCGATGTCCTGAAAATGTATTTATCCCAGCAAGGAAGGAGACGGCCTAGGTGTGCAGAAGCCAAGGTGTCTCTGCAGTCACTCCGCTGTGCCCACTTGTTAGCCAGTTCTGCAGTAACACCTCCTTATAATTGCCCTTTGCCTGTTTTGTAAATAGACTTCAGTATGTTTCTGAAAGGAGTTGATTCTTTGACCTCATCAGCCTGCCCAATGAATCCTCTCAGTAGGAGCAAGAATGCACACAGGATGGGTGTAGACCAGGATTTGAAAAGAGCAGCAGGCATTTCTCCTGTGCTGTTTCTCCGACAGTGTTAGATGGAAGCTGCCTGGCTCACTAGACATGACTTCAGACACGGCTCAGCACTGACCCTCTACAAATCAGGGTCTGGTGCCAGATGGAAGGAAATCAAGTCACCCGGTGGCACACGATCATCTTCAGTAGCACCTAACGTTTCCACAGTTTCTCTGATACATGTGCTGTGCGTGCGTTCTTGTGTTCAATTTCGTTTTGCAGGCGGTGAAGGGCTTTAAAGTCTCCAGAATAAGGCACAGATGTAGTGCATGTAATAAACAGCCAACCAAAAAAAAAAGGTTTTCCACATAGTTACCAGCATGGTGATAATGACTGGTCACCTTTAGTAAACTTGATATATAATCATATTTTCACTACCAACTAGCAATGAATCATTTCTGAAGAAGACTAGTTAGGATTACTTAAAGAATGCTGTACTTCACATAGCTATTTTGGTAATTTTAATGATGGAAGAATTATCCAAATTCTAGGATATTGTTCAAGATAATGCCATTTTAAAAATAAATAAATAATAGAATCCAATGCACATAACTTTTTTAGTCTCAGATGATACAGCAAGTCTAAAAAAGTCAAATTGTGATATCTTATGGATATGAAAGGAGCTCTGGTTGCATAGCGGTTATGAATCAGTCTGCGAACCACAAGGTCAGCAGTTCAAAACTACCAGCTGTTCCGTGGGAGAAAGATGAGGCTTTCTGCTCCCATAAAGATTTACAGCCTCGGAAACCCTGTACAGGGTTGCTATAAGTTGGAACCAACTCCACGGCACATCACCACCACCATCACCCTGGATGTGAAAACTATGACTTACTCTTATTTAAAATGAATAAATGATCTTCAGTATACTAAAGTACTTTTATATTTGTTAGTTAGAAAATTTAGGAATTTCTGATTTTTAGCCACTGAGTTTAAGAAATAATAAAGAAACCTGATTTCTAAAGGGAAACTACTCATGAATATTAATATTCTCAGATAAAATATTCTCAATAAACAATTTATTACTTTATACTTAGATTCTTTGTTCCATGTCATACTTACTGCTTTTAAGTCTCACTTTTATTCTTTTAAGATTTTATGCCAGAATGAGTGAAATAACATTTGTCTGTTGTTTAATGGAGAATATTTATAAATTTTAAAAGCAGTCCTTCAAACTTAGATCTGTTTAAGCAACTTGGAAAGGAATCTGAGAATGGTTACCCAACACAAAAATGTTATCAATGTCACTTAATTGTTCCTGTAAAAAGTGTCAAATTGGTGTATGTTTTACATATGTTCGCAACAGCAAAATAAATAAAATTTAGAATGATAAAACAGGATTAGATCTCTTTAGGTAGACTATTAATACAATTCTTATTGTATCCTTTACTTAAATAAGTTTATCCCAGACATACTTAAAGTATATAAATTACATACTAGACCATTTGAAGTAGTTAACAGTTTTATAATCATCAAGGCATTTTGATTGAAGAATGGGACCTAGCATTACTTGAGTATTGTTATTCATAAGTGCCATCTAGTTTGTTCCAACTTGGAGCAAGCCTGTACTTCTAGCCCTCTAAATTGTGAGAGAATTTCTTTTTATTAAAATCATTCACTTGTAGTGTTTCTGTTACAATAGCACTATATAAATAAGGGAGTTCTGTTGTGGTGCTGTAGGATACGTACTTTATCATAAGGTTGGTTTGAATTGCAAGGTTGATAGTTCAAACACACCAGCTGCTCCTCGGAAACCCTCTCCAGGGTTGCTATGAGCCAGAACTGACTCCATGGCACCTAACATGAACAGCAGAGGGTTTCTGAGGCTGTGAACTGTTGCAAGAACAGAAAGCAGATGATGTGTTCCTACCATAGACCTTATGGTTCGAGATCAGGTGCTTACACATGGGAGCCACCAAGTTCACATTTTAATAGATTATATTTAAATTTTGGCAAGAAATGGGGCAACTAAAGAACAGTGTGATCTGAAACTATTGACAGAAGTACTAGATAATGTCATAGGTACCTCAATCTCAGATTTGTTGGGAAATTTAGGCACAAGTTACACAGATTTTTTCAAAGAGAAACTAAAGGTAAATAATTCACCAGTAAGACCGGGGTCCTGATGTGGTGCTGTAGTGCAAGCACTGAACTGCTAACCACAAAGTTGGCAGTTCAAACCCCCTAGCTGCTCTTCATAAACTCTATACAGGGTTGCTTTAAAAGACACTTAAATAACAACAAGATGGGATGGCTTTACCAGACCCAAAAGAGAATTTAGTATTAATTCTTTTCAATTGTCTTTATTACTCTGAATACGTATGGATCATTGGCTACATAATCAGTGACTTTGGGAATATGCAGAGTCTTTAACTTAGTCACTAGGAATTAAACACAGTACCTGTTTTTGTTTATGATTTGTTGTTAAGTCCAAAATTTAGAGATTAGCAAATTTATTAAACTTCTAGGTTGATACATTAAATTAGTGTAGAATCTGTTGGCTAGGAACAGAAAAGGTTTGGCAGACTTTCTTTGCTGCAACTGTCACTAATGATTATTGGTGATTGTCCTAGTTATGAGCAATCAAGCATTAAACGTTTTCCATTTTTTTTTTTTAAAATTGATCAACTAGGTTTATTTTGTTTACTTTTTCCTGTAAGAAAAACTGGTTTAAAGTAACATCAAACTTTCCAAACGGTCAATGTTTCTTGCCTACATTTATATAATACCTAGCTCTATGCCTACTCTCCCAGCATTCTTTGTGTACGAAATTGTTTCACAGTTTGAACACAGTCAACATCTGTGTCCTTGTCTAACTAACAATCTTAAATCAATCAAATAACAATTTTTAATATTCTATTGCAGGATCTTCTTCACACTGTCTTCAGGAATGGAAAAGTGACAAAAAGCTATTCATTTGATGAAGTAAGAAAAAATGCAAACCTGAATATTGAACTGGAAGCAGCACCTCATTAGGTTTTGTTTTATGGCTGTGCGTGTGTATGGGTGTGTGCATGTTTGTTTGTGCACACACATATGCACCTGTGTGTGTGTGTGTAATACATAATGTGTATTGTACAGATGTGTGGGGTTTGTGTTTTATGATACATTACAGCCAAATTATTTGTTGGTTTATGGACATAATACCCTCTCATTTTTTTTTTTTTTTTTTTTCTTTCAGTGTTTAGGTGATCTCGAATTAGAAAATGTAATTAACCATGTAAACAACTAATGCTAAAGTAAGCTTTTTAGGGCCCTTTGCCAATAGATAGTAATTCAATCTGGTATTGATCTTTTCACAAATAACAGAACTGAGAAACTTTTATATATGTAACTGAAGATCACATAAAACAGATTTGCATAAAATTATCATGATTGCTTTATGTTTATATTTAACTTGTATTTTTGTACAAACAAGATTGTGTAAGATATATTTAAAGTTTCAGTGATTTAACACTCTTTCCAACTTTTCATGATTTTTATGAGCACAGACTTTCAAGAAAATACTTGAAAATAAATTACATTGCCTTTTGTCCATTAATCAGCAAATAAAACATGGCCTTAACAAAGTTGTTTGTGTTATTGTACAATTTGAAAATTATGTCAAGATATACCGTATAGAGTTACTAACCTCACTGCCCCTTGTGGAATATGTATTATTCATTCTACATGAAACAAAATTAATGGCTCTTACTGGAATGTTTAGGCACTCTACAGTGATTATATTGCTTGGTCATTGTATTGTACCAGAGAAATGCCAAATCTGAAAGGCCTGTACTGCAATTTTATATGTCAGATGTTGCTTGTGGCTCTAATATGCACCTCAATTTTAAGGAGATAATGTTTTTAGAGAGAATTTCTGCTTCCACTATAGAATATATAAATAAATGTAAAATATTGACAAAAGTGGAAGTGGTGTATTTTAAAGTAATTAAACTTTTGAATTTATTTTTCATATTCTATAGTTGATATTACTTAAATGAATTACTGGAGTTGGTAGTGAGTGTACTTATTTTAAATGTTTTCATTCTGTTATATTTTTCATTAAGTTTAAAAAAATTAAATTGGACTCAAATTGTATTGGGTATCATTTATTAATTTTAAACAGAATCCCTCAAATAATACTCAAGTTTATATGATGATAAATTACCCCATGCAAAGCATGATGGCATGAGTTTCAATAGAAGAATCTTAAAGCAGAAAGTTAGAACAGTTCAAATTGTTCAACATCAGACATCTAGAGCAATTGACTGCTAGACTCTGAAGTAATCATTGTATCTTACTTGTTAAGTTCCCTTGAGTCACTGTCAACTCATAGCGACCCTTTATAGGGTTTCTGAGGAGAGAGCAACTGGTTTGAACTGCCAGCCTTGTAGTTAGCACTCCAGTGCGTATCCTACAGTACCACACCAAGACTCCTGTCTCTGACTAAAACCAGTTTGTTTTGTTTTGTTTTTTTAGACAGTTCTTTTGTGTCCTGGTCTACTTTTCTAAGGCAGGGATTGACAAACTATTCAGCCTGGTGCCTGTTGTCATAATGTGCTTTGTCCGAGACTCTTTTCTCACTGTAACAGCAGAATACAGTGATTACAGCAAGACTATGGGGCCCACAAAGTATAAGCTATTTGTTTACCTGTCTTTGCAGGAGAACTTTGTTAACCCCTGTTCTACGGAAAACAGTGTGCCTTGAATTTTAATGAAATGTTGGTTTTCAGGGGAGGGAAGAGGCTAAATTAATAGGGAATTTTTCTCAGTTGTCGTTTCTTTTCTCACTGAGGAATTTGATATTGGGAAACTGATTCAGAAAAAGTTTGGTAATAGGACAGTAAATGTGAAATTTTAAAAATGGAAAAGCCATAGTAGTCTGTCTTGAACAATTATGAGAAAATATTCAGCCACTACAATAAAGAGGTAAATGATCTTTGTTAAATTATCATTTATAGAAGGCATTGGAATGTAGGTTTTTGCAGGTAATTCTAAACACCTGTTTAATTTAAACACTAAGCATTATTCACATATGGTGAGAGTCTTTATACTGTAATCCCTGGATAGAAAGTAATTTAAAGTTGATTTTTTTAAATGTATGTAAGTAAAGCCTAGGTTAGCATTGAGAACACCTATTTCTTCACAAAATGTGCTAAGAGGTTTATCGTAGAGAATTAAAAGAAACTATATTTATTACCACTAATAATTTTGATAAACCACCCATGGTTTTGTATTTGTTTAATCAGTAGAATTATACAACAAACAGTATTTGTGTTCTGTGCATTTCAAGAGTTTCCAAACATCTGGAGGAGTTTTAGTTTAAAACTTGCGTGTATACTAAAAGCTGCACGTTTGTACATATTCATGGATTGGGGTGGAGGTGAAACGATTAAATCTGTTAGCTCCTAACCACGGCAAATTCACTTATCCTGAGTTTCTACCACCAAGTGCTTAGTATTTGACCCCCATGTTGACCACCAAATGGTTAGCATAGATGTCAACTAGAAATTTGCTGTTTTGTCACCCTTAAATCTGCTAAACTCCCAAACAAATGCAAATGCTATGTGTGGGTTTCTTTAAGTCATTAGATTTACAGTTGGCGTATCAGTTAAACCCCCTCAATTCATAATAACATGAATTAATTTGTGTTTTAAATAGCAGGTCACAGAGTTCTGTGTTAAGACTCAAACTGTTTGTTCTCTATACTTTAAGTAAAATGGCTTTTATGATTATACCTTATTTAATATCTTAAAATAAATTATGGAAAACTTTTATAATGAAATTCATCTTGGAAAATTAGAGAAAAATGGCAAGGTATTTATTGTTTTGTTTGCCATGAATTAGAACTCAAATATTTTGTAGTTTTACATTCCTTTTTAACCCATTCAGTGGGGAATGTTAAATTTCTCCCAAGTCATGTCAAACCAATTCTAATATGTACTCAAAATCAAAGATAAACATGTAATAAACATGGAAATAAAGTTTAGCTGCATTAGTGAAACATTAAATTTGACTGTGTGGTTCAAGTAATAACATTTTTAGATTGACCTTTTTTTAGGTATTCCAGTTCAAAGAATTAGCAAATATGAAAGAAGGAGGGAGGTGTCAAGGATGGCTCCTGTTTTCTGCCTTGTGCAACTGTATAGATGGCTGTACTTACTAAGAGAGAAAACTGGAGGGAGCCCAGATATGAGGATAAGAGCATGATTCTTCTGTAAAGGTTTGAAATGCCTTTGAGGCATTTAAATGAAGATGGTAAGTAGGGGACAGAGGGCCTCAAGGTATAAATTTGAAGCCAAAGGATGATGTCATTTGAGCCACAGGAGAGGATGTTTTTCTAGAGAGACTACAGCGTGTAGGGGTCAGTAAAGCATGGACCTTAGGCCAAATCCAGCCCATCATCTTTTACATAAAGAAAGTTTTATTGGAGTGTTATCCGACTGCTTTCACACTCCATGGGCAGCACTGGAGGTACGTGTGGTCCAATAATTAACTGTCTAGTTCTTTACAGAAAAAGTTTGCTGATTCTTGCTTTCAGGTATAAAGAGAAGAGGATCTAGGGTAAAACCATAAAGAATCGTAACATTTGAAGGTTAAGTGGCAAAGGATAAACTGGCAAAGGAGACTGACAAGCAGTAACCAAAGAGATGAAAACCAGAAGGAAAAGTTTGAAAGCCAAAGGAAGGACTTGTCAGTTCAGGTGTTGAATGCTGCTGTGAGGCCAAGTAGATTTTTTGCTGTTAAGTGCCCTTGAGTTGGTTCCAACTCATAGCCATCCTGTAGGAGTTTTCCGAGAAGCACCTGGTGGGTATGACTACCAACATTGTGGCCAGCAGTCCAGTGCTTATCATACTACATCACACCGGTAGAAATGGCAACAGAGTAATATTTAGTGGACTTAGTGGCTTTGCTTCCCAAGAAATAGAGGAGGTCACATCAGAAGGAAGCTGTCTTTCTTTTGAGTACTGACTGAAAGTGGGAAAAGGATGGCACAATCGGGTGTTTCCCTTTCTAGTTACTGTCCTCTCTTTTGGGGGGCTGTGGGGGAAAGGCAAGGGAAGAGGGAGGAGTTGAAGAAAAGAGGACAAGAAGTGGTTACTGATGGTGGCAGACTTCAGAAGAGTAGATGAGGATGGGATCCAAACACTGCTGGTGGGTGGGGTAGCCTTGAGATAGAAAGAAGAGGGTGGGGGGGACACAGCCCATGTGTTTCTATGTGAGGTCAGACCCAGATAGCCTGAAATTGAAAGGAAGGTGGGAAAAGGAGGTTTGGAAACAACACCTATGGCAAACAAATTGACCAGACATACAGTAAGACCACAGGCAGGGCAGTGTTGAGGACCCAGCTGGTGAAAATAAATGCCTATTGAGATTCATATCCCTCATAGCACCCTGCTGCTTGGATTCAGGCCCAGCAAACATGGAAATACTTGATTGAGTTCATCCAGGAGTTGAGATTTTGCTAGATAGCTTTGAAAAAACAAAGGCAAGAGAGCTCAGTGTAGTCTTGGGAAGAGTTATTGAAATGATGTTCCTACAGAGTTTACTAGATAGAATCAGAAGTGAAGGCTTAGCAGAGAGCTGTCTAATGAATGGGAAGACGAAGAATCCAGCAGGCAACTGCATGGCAGCTTTGAGATATTGAAAGTAGTTGCACACACAGACTGGAAAGACAGAAAATTGTAGCTAGACCAGGATGCTTGCATTAGTGATCTGAGAGGAGCAAGTGGGTTGGGCAGATGGACGTTAAAATCATCCAAAACCATGGAATGGAGAGGAAACCTTGGGTGCCAGTGTCCAGTAAATAAAGGGAAGAAACCAGAACTGTGCTGGCAGCAACCAAAGGAGTGTGAACTTGAGAGATCAAGAATTATCTTTGATTAATAAATCTAAGGACTTGAGAAAGGAATGGTCAGGAATGGCAGTGGAGACCATTAACCCTGCCTCTCAAGTACTTTGAAAAGGCAAGCCTGCACAGCCTCTGACAACTG